GTTGCTTCGCAACATGACACCGACGGAGCAGCTGGGAATTCGTTCCGACAAAACCTCACCTGCTCCTGCACTAGAAGCCTGGCGACACCTCACAAGGGTGTATCAGCCCAAGGACTTCGTGTCGTCGAGCCGACAAATACCCCATACCACGCATATACGATCTTCTAGACAAATTGCGCGGTGCAACGGTGTTTTCGAAGCTCGACCTATGGTCGGGTTACTAGCAGATTAAGATGGCAGACAACTCGATCCACAATATGGCATCCATACCAGATACAACTCCTACGAATATTTAGTGATGATGTGCGGACTCTGCAATGCACCATCAACATTCCAGGCTGAGATGAATCACATCCTACGGCGCCTATTAGGCGAGTGTTTGGTGGTGTACCTAGACGATATCTTGATCTACTCAAAGAACATGAAGGAGCACGTGGAACATCTGCGAAAGTTTTCAAGATCTTGCGGAAAAACAAATTCCACGTGAAGCTATCAAAGTAGACTTCGACTTGAAGAAGGTGCAGTTTCTCAGGCACAAGGTGAGTGCCAAAGGCATACACGTGGTTCCGCGGAAGATCGAAGCTGCCAAGAAGTGGAAAGTTCCTGAGAACGTAAAGGAGTTGCAACAGTTCCTAGGCTTCACCAATTACTACAACATGTTCGTGCCACAGTACGCTAAGATAGCAGCGCCATTGACGAACTTACTGGAAAGGATACGCCCTATACATGAGATTCTTCTCAAGAGCAAGCCATTGAGCAGCTACAAACAACACTGACTACTGCACCTAAATTCATCCTACTAGATCAAGACATAGATTATGTGGTGGAAGCAAACGCTAGTGACCATGCATTCGGAGCAGTACTTATGCAGGATCCCAAACGCGCTTTGCAGCCCATCACCTATTTCAGTAAATAGCTACACACGGAGCAGAACGGAATTACCCTATCCACAACAAGGAAGCCTTAGCGATAATCACAACCTTCAGGCATGGACGTGTTATCTAGAGGGAGCTATGACCACAGTCTACACGGACCTCTGCAGTCTCAAATACATGAAGTCGTAGCCTACGCTCTCATGGCGACAGGTGCAGTGGATGGATTTCTTGGAAACACACTTTCAACCAGAAATCGTCTACAAGCTAGGGCTACAGAACAAGGCCAACGCACTGAGCCGCCCAGGACATGTCGCAGGCATCCAGCTCGATGGGATGAACCCTCTGCTAAAGTGTCTATTCCAATATGGTACTCCGTGGATGCAGAGATCACTACAGCAAAGGAAACAGAAGCTGTTACAGTGGGAGAAAGACTTAGCAGTAAATAAAGGTTCATGGAAGATTTGGGTGCAGAACTATGCCCCACTTTGACATATCTTACTAGAGGAGTTTCACGACGTAGCATACGTGGGACATTTCGGGAACAACAAGATGTTAGGAGGAATAGCTATTACTACTGGCCCTGGATGGCAGCGACGTGCAGCAGTTCGCACCTCGGGCGAGACGTGGCAGCGGGTGAAGAGTAGCAAGTAGAAAAAGGCAGGGCTAGTTTGACCTCTACCCATACCGGAGTAGCCATGGCAAGTCGTTAGCTTGGACTTCATTACTAGGCTTCCTTCAGCCTCACGAGGGCATGATGGTATACTCATAGGTGATCGATACGTTCTCTAATACGAGACATTGAATTCTGACCAACGCCATGGCTACCGCTGAAGCAACTGCTCACCTCTTCTTCGACCGCATTGTCACCATCCATGGGCATCCCCGCTACACTCACATCGGATAGGGACCCAAAGTTCACAAGTAAGTTATGGAGGGAACTCGTGGGATTGTTGAGGAAGCTTGCGATCTCTTTGGTATACCACCTGCAGACTGACGGACAGACCAAGCGACTCGATCGGGTGGTTGAACAGTTACTACGGCAACTTACAAAGATCATGGCAACCATTAGGTAATACAATTACCGATGCTTAAGTTCACTTATAACAATGCATCGCACGCAACTACAGGGGAAATCTCCATTCTTCCTGTGTTACGGACGAGACCACTTACACCACAGCAGCCAACCATACCGGCACACGTCCAAGCCGCACATGACTTTGTCACCGCCATGCAACAATCATGGGAGAAGACTCAGTGACGTCTCACCATGATGCAGAACTCCCAGAAGTAGTATGCAGATCGACAACGATGATGCCGCTCAGTAGCAGTCGGAGATCAGGTGCTTCTCGACACACGCAACTTGGACTTGTCTCATCTACCGTCCAAGCTCCGACCTCGCATCTGTTGAGGCAATGGTGATTTTGACTCCAGTGACATTCCGCTTGCGCTTACCAACTACGTAGAAGCTTCACAATGCTTTCTATGTGCAGCTACTGAAGCCCTAACAAGAACCCCAATCAACATTTCCAGGGACGACAGCACCGCCACCACCACCTGTTCTCGTACAGATGAACCAGAGCACAAGGTGGAACGAATGAGTTCTTGTTCATCAACGTAGACACGGTGACACACTCGAGTTTGTGATACGTTGGAAGGGATATGACATGTCAAAGGACAGTTGAGTTGTAGAAGTTGATATGGGCAACGCATGCCATGCTCTAAACAATTATCTTGTGAAGTGGGGTGTTTCTCACGCCATGCAGCTTTGAGGGGGGAACGTGTGAGAGTACGACGGCCGTGCCTACTGAGATTTACCTATATTTATTTTACCTTGCATTATCTTGCTTAGTTTTGTTTTAGCTTGCATGCTTTTGCTTAATTGCCTAGTTTCGTTGCTTAACTATAATTATCATAGATGCACCGAAATAGCTTGTCTACACCGAATTCGGTGATTTTCGGTTGCCATCGAATTGCTTCTACTGAATTTGGTAAGGATCCGTTTAGGACACTTTGCAACCATCGGAACCTTCACGTAACACCTGGTTACCTTGCCTTGTGTCGAGCCTATATATATCTCGTGTTTTACCTAGGTGATCAATCAATCATTTCTGAACCCGTTCCTCGATCCTCACAGGGGAGCTTCACCATCCGGCGCATCAACTTGTGGTCCTACAGAAGGCCCTCGATGACATGCGTGATGTACGACGGCATCAAGTAGGCGACTCATTTCATCCGCAAGTCAAAAATTTGTTGCGCGCAGTTGAAGTATGCCGTCTCTGACTTATGCTTTCCAGGACTGAGGTTGGTCAACCACTACTCAGGTTGACCGATGAAGAGATAGTCAGCCGCCTTGTACGTCTTCATGATGAACGACCAGGCTTCGATTCTAGCTTCTTCACCAAGTCGGCAAGGCTTCCACGCCACTATCGGTGACCTTCCTCAGTTGCGCAGTCTTTAGCTGTAGCTCAATCGACTCCACCCACATCGTTAGGTCATGTCGACTTTGAGCACCTTGGGCACAGGGATTTTCTCCGGCGAAAACTTGAAGTAGCTTTACATTAGGGTGATGCTGCGTCTCGCCCGGCTGACATATTCAACATTCACGTTGACCCTACTCCACTTCGCCAGGTAGCGACGTCGATCATCGATGACACCTCGCGCACATCCCTGCTGTTGCTGACCGCAGAACTTGCGCATGCGTCCCACCAACGTCAACGATGTCAGCTCTGACATGTCTTTGGATCACTTCGTGCACCACCCTTGGACCTCCGTCAAAGAGGAGGTTGCCGTCTCCTTCGTTGTCCCCAACATGGGGAGCGACAGACTCTTCGTCGCCACTTCAATATCGGAAGGTGGATGCTCGTGTCAAATAAGTAAGTTAACGATTCTCTTTTGTAGTGAAACTCGTGCTAATTTCACCTACAAGTAGAACGAACCTGCACAAGTGTAAACGATGCCGTGATCAGCCCGCACACTCGTAGCCTTCATCGCAGTCTACTCCCGTTGTACAGCGACTCCCTGGATGGTGCACCATATAATGTCAAGGCAAACTCGATAGAGCAAGAAAGGCATTGCAACACACCTAGCAACCTAGGAAGGTGACTTTCCAACAAAGCAAGGAAGGCATCTTGCTAATGCTGTAGCAAAGCGGCTTGCCAGTGCTGCACCAAGATGGACTGCCTATACTGCAATCGGAGGTGAACACGTCCGCACATGCGGATCACCTACAGTAAACAATGGCGTGCACATCGTGCACGTGATGCATATTCGCAGGTGTCGGGTTTTAGAGCACGTGGTGCTGTTTCTGCGTATCTACTTTTGCGAAAACCGCATGGGGCAAAATTCGCGCACATGCAGAATCTCGGCAATCAGTTACTTTGTCGACCACCAAGACGTCGCTCAGCTGGCTTCCGCCGACCATTGGTCGAAGGTACGGTAGCTGCAAGATACATTGCTGCCGGACCAGATCAATTTGTGGTGGAACGCTGCAATCCATAGCCACCCAAATTTTACCAACTCTCTTCCTTTATAGAGTTGCATCCCACATGGTACGGAATTTACTCATGACTTGAGCAGTCTTTGTCTGCTACTCAAGCAGGAGGATGACACTAGCATAAAAATATTCCTCCATATATGGTAAAAACTACAGCGACATGGCAGAAAATAGTAAACAATGGTAGGGGCTACTAAAACATCTATAACAATAAAAAGAATATGAGTCCAGCCAATGATCTTCTCTTCCGACTACCATACTGTATATTTTGTATATTTATTCACTATGAATGACCTAAATCAATAAAACTAGTATGGTAACTAACAGATATACATTCTAACATCATACACAACAACTTGAACCGACAAGGGCTGGTGTTGATTTTTGTTCGAGGTTGATACATGTTGATACCTGCGTGGCCCGTGCAAAGGGATAGGAGAGTGAGGGAAAGTGGAGGAAGGGGTGAGGGTTGAGAGCTGAAGAAAAACGCATCCAATGCTGTCTGGGCCATGGTCAAGCTGTGATAATCTTGTAGTATGCATGTCAAACCTGGAGCATTTGCAAAGCCTTGCGAAACCATGTGATACATGGTATCATGGGCAACAAATACATGCGAATGGGAAAGTGCACACCTCGCGGTGTCGAGAGTGTATCATGTCGTAAAGTTGTTTGCTCTCCTTGGCGATGCACTGGAATGCCTCCTCAACATTGATGTCTGCTTTAGCGGACTGGATAAGAGTAAAACAGAGTGGGATGGGGATTGTGCCGCGATGAACAAATCCAAGCACATTCTGTATGAATGCAATATCAGAGAATACGAAACAAGGCAATGCCAGATTCATGCGTGTGCCAATTTTATAGCCAACACAATCCACGTAAAGGGGGGGAAAACGTACGGTTTCGAAAAAGCTGAGATTGAACTCGTTAGCCAGTTGTTGCCCTTGTTCCTTGGTGATCACCTGATGTACAGCAAGGAGGACGAGGTTCAGAGAGTGGGAGAGAGAGAGAGAGAGAGAGAGAGAGAGAGAGAGAGAGAGAGAGAGAGAGAGAGAGAGAGAGGAATGTTAACACTGGGCTTTCTCTTCAGAAATTTTTAGGAAGCCAGAGTTCACAACAGGCTGAAGCATGGTTCATGGTAAGTTGTGTTGAACAACTTACCCTCCGGTAGTCCATGTCAGCCTTGTTGCCGACAAGAACCACACGCACTCCGCGAGTCGAATGCTCCTCAATGCTCTTGATCCACCCTCGCACATCTGTGCACACATGCAAAAAAACATCAGTTGGATATTTTAAAATTATAATAATGGAAATTACACAAACGAATGAGCGAAGAAATGACTACGAGCTTACTGTTGAATGATTTCGGGTCGGTGATGTCGTATAAGAGAATGATCCCATGAGCGTTCCGGTAGTAGGCTGCAAAGAGCCAGTACGAAAGAGCATGCATGACAGAGGACATCCGGTAGTGGCACAACAGATAACTGTGATAAAGATAGGCATGGCTTGGATGATGTGCAGCTGGGTAAAGCACAGTTAACAAACTCAGCAGATTCAGCTATGCTTGCCAATTGAACAAGATGAATCACACAACACGGATGATGGTCATATTTACCTTCAGTGATGGTGCGAAATTTCTCCTGCCCAGCTGTATCCCATATAGACATCTTCACCGGCTCACCATCGATTTCCATTGTGCGGATCAAGAAGTCAACTCTGCAGTCAAGAAAGGAAAAATAAAGGGTTTTACATAATCAGAAAGCACATACTTACACTTCACTATAATCAGAATCCGCATACTTACTATCCAAACTAGGAGTATTGTTGCATGTGTGTGCATGTGAGTGTGTGCACAAACATGTGTGGCTGAGTGTGAAGAACTATGAGCGTGTGAGTTAATGTGCATATTGTTTTGGTCTGAGTTGGAGCAGAGGGAGAGAGGAAAGAGCAGGAAGGAAGGAAGTGGGGAAGGAGGCAGGGGACGTGGGAGAAGGAGAAGAGGGGAAAGGAAAAACTGTGTTGTACGTACCCAATTGTGGATGTGAGGTCGCTCCTAAAATTGTCTTCTGAAAACCGGAGAATAAGACTGCTCTTTCCCACAGCTGCCATGAACCACACGGAGAAATGTAGGGCGCAGAGAGAGAGGTATTGGATTCTGATTTGTGAGAGAAAAAGGACACTCGGTTATGTATCCATGTTTGTTGCAATTTTGGATGTGAACGCTACCCGTGTAAGCTTGGAAAAAGAATTTGCTGATAAAGCTATAAATGCGAACCGAAGACCAACAAATAGATGGCTTCAAGCCATCAGGTCTGATGCCCCAAGTTGGGCCAAATTCTCGGAATGCTATCAGATAATTGCATGCACTGATAAGTTAAACCCGCAAATACTGCATACCACTGTCTCCGATAAGGAGAATCTTGACCGCTGCAGCAAGTTTGCTCTTCTGTCCTCTTGACGCGCTATAGTCCTTCATGACGTTATTTTGGTAACCCATCCTTGGCATATCTCGGACCTTATTGCACTTCCCACCGCTAATCCTTGACATAAGTTCACGGTCTTCTCTCTTCAGAAAAGGGGAGTTCGGTACGTCGATATCTGCTTCGAGGGTGGTAAAAACGCTGGTCTGGTCTGGACTAGGGTCTGGCGTTTTACACCTGATTGCAATGCTGGTCGGAAGAGAAATAATGAGCTAGAAGAGTGACGTTGAATTGTTGGATGCTGCTGGCTGCCAAAATACCTTCACTAATTTGTGCAACCTCGCGACTCACAAAACTCGGCGTCTTGCTGAATTCAGATTCTCTGGTAAAGTGAGGCGTGTTTACCTTGACGACCACGCTTGACCAGTCCGTGGCAATTTATTTCAACCAATCAACAACACTCACACAATGTTTGTTTGGCGATTCGGGGCAATGCCTTGTCCTAGTGGGTAGCGTTCCCCCCCCAACGTGAGAGCCTCTCGCGTTTCTTCGCCGTTTCTGGTTACTGGCGTGGCTCCGTTGTCAAAGCCAATTGACCTGCAGTGAAACTGGCTGAAAGTCGCCGTACTCAATATAGCATCCTTCACTGATTTATGCATTACTTGTTGAGCATCCAGTCAAATTCCCAGCCTACATCCATCAACAAGGTGACGCAAATGTAGGGAACAGACTGTGGCGTAGAGTTAATAGCTTGACTGTCTTCCATGCAGTACTATTTCACATCAGACAGCATACAATCGCGAACCAGACTTTTCATACATGTTGCTACATCTAATCACCACTGCTCTATTTCTTCCATTCCTCCGGGTTGTAAGAGGGCGGTGGGCGTGGCACAATGCTCTTCTTCCACGCGCGGTCCACCTTTCGCGACTCCCTCTTCCCAACGCCCTGCTCCAACTCCCTCTCCCTCCTCACAGTCAGCATTCGTGCGATCTGCCAGGGACAGAAAAGTGATACAAATGAGACAATTTTGAAACCAACATACAAATGAAGCACTCTATATATGTCCTGCCACACAGCAACTGCACAATATCTGTGCATGAGCAGATTCCAGAGCCACTTCAGTGAAGCTGGCAACATAGCCACCCATACCAACCAATATGTAATAACCTATCAACTGTGCACACTGTACATCACACTGTACGTCCAACAGTACGTTCCACAGTACCTCAATCTCCCCCCTAGCAATGAGCCTACACGGAAGAGCCTGCGCACATGGGCCTGCACACATGAGCTCCTCAATCTCCCCCCTAGTAATGAGCCTGCGCCCATGAGCCTGCACCCATGAGCCTGCACCCATGAGCCTGCACCCATGAGCCTGCACCCATGAGCCTGCACGCATGAGCCTGCACGCATGAGCCTGCACCCATGAGCCTGCACCCATGAGTCTGCACGCATGAGCTCCTGTTTTGAGTTTTGAGACGTCTCAAGACATGAGCTCGTGACCATGAGCCTGCGCCCACGAGACTGCGCGCATGAGCCTGCACCTATGAGCCTGCGCCCATAAGCCTGCGCGCATGTGTCGGTGCACAGTCCACCTATTCCCTCCCTCACTTTCTTCGCCTGCACCCCTTCCCCTCCTCAATCGACTGTCCTCATCCCACGGATTCCCCCATCCATATTCTTCGCCTTTCTTCTGCCTCCTACCGCCCCCTCTTGTCCCCTCCCAAGCCCCATCGCTTGCCATCCCTCGTCCATTCATCTTTCCCCTCTCCCCTTCATCTGCAGATTTTCCACCCCGGTTCCCACTCCCCCCTCCACCATTCCCCCCTTCCCCTTTCCCATGTCCCCACTTCCCCCCGTGCCTCCCCATTTTCCTCACCTGCACTTTCCCCACCCGAAAGTTCCCAAAAGCTTCTCACCCGCTTGTGGATGCGGCCGAACTCGCTGGGCTTGAACTCGAGGCGCGTGGCCTGCTTGGCGCGCAGCAGGAAGAGCTCGCCCTTGAGGTCCACCACCGCCTGCTCGATCTCCGCCGTCCCCATCCCGCGGATCTCCGCCAGCTCCTCCTGCTTCTTCACCGCGCTCACGCGCACCGCGCCGCCGGATGCGGCGCGAGACGCGGAGGTGCTGGAGCAGGCGAGGGACGGGAGCGAGAGGCGCTGGCTGCTGACGTGGCAGCTACGAGAGCTGGATAGGTTTGCCAGCCTGGCCGCCTGGGGAGAGACCAGGTGGGGGTGGATGGGTGGAAGGGTGGGGGACGAAGGGAAAAAAAGTAAGGAGACCAGAGGGTATAAACAAGTGGCTGCGGTGTTAGATGAGTGAGGCGTGAATACGTGATATTCGCAAAGAGGAGGAGGCTGGGATAGAAGCGGGAGCGGGATTCGAGAGCAGCCGAAGGGACCATTATACACCAGGGATGAACGTTCCTCATCACCCGTACTGAGAAGTAAGCTGAGACCGAGGGCATATCCGCAACTGAACACCGCTGGTGCTCTAGTTAGTGCTGTGGTCCGACGCGCTGACGACAAACTCGTTTAGAATCTGTACGATTAGGGCATTTCTACAATATATTAACAGATTTATCGCGCGCTCTATTGATGGTGTGATCCGGCAGTCGGAGACTCGCTAAACCCTGCATAATTCACCACTGGACGAGGAAGCAGTTCTCATTAGAGAGCTTTGCAACTACTGCAAACGACTCGTTTCAACGAAGTCAGAAAACTAAGGGAAACCCTGAAAAACGAGGTATCGACCAGACATCCTGCGAGGCAGAAAAGACAGGGAAGAACCGGAGACGGACTAGCGTAACCGTTGACCTGCACCAAACGCTGACAATGCACTCGCTTTGGAAATGTTTTATCTGCGAAAACAATCAAGGCTTCACAATGGAGCCAAGGAGGTTTCAGAGCGAAACCAAGAAGGCCTAATGCTGCCGGCATTCGCGAAGTACGAACGCAATATTCCTAGCCGTGCTCCCTCACCGTGCAGGCTGAGGCTTGCTGCAAGCAGGAAAGCGACGAGGACGCCATGGCTCCGCGCGACGATCAAACCACGAGCAGTCTAGGCTGACCAAAATGAGTTCCTGCTTCCTAAGCAACTGAAGGTCACAAGAGTAGAGGGGTGGGCTGGGCTGGGAGTGGCAGAAGCAGAGGTAAGGGCAGGTAACACAAAAGCAGGGCCCGTATACATACATGTTAAGAAACGGTTAATTCTGTTTTGGAAGCAGTTCAGAACGATGCGGGCAAGAACCAGTTTGGATGTTCCTTGGGGTTGGTCGGGATGGATTGATGAGATGATGACGTGGAACGAGAAAGTGTGGAGCTGTGGGCTGGGAGCGTCCTCCATATAGGCGTTTGTGTCGTGGCTACCTCGCCAGTTTTTCTTATAGCAGAATCCGCACTGTTCAAAGCAGACAAAGGCTTTGTTCAATTGGCCGCCAAAGGTTGAGCATTATAGGGTAACCAGCTAACTCTAAAATCGAAGAGCCTTATATCCAGGCGGTACTCGAAGGGAGAACTCGATTGAGAACGAACTGTGTCGACGTGACTGGGGAAAATTACGCTGTAGGTCCATATCCCAGTAAACTCTTTGTTGTACACGAAATGAACTGCCACGTTGCCACCAATTGTCAATAGGAGTGCACGACAGCTTTGAAATCTTACACACCACACCCAACTTTTTGCATCAATTTTCAGCTGTAACCTGTTGCCGCATTTCCGGGTTTGTGACTGCAAACGCTCATGAAGTAGGGAAATTACGAACCAGGCAACTGCAGACAGGCAGTGTACTACAGTGTGGACATTTGATCAAATGAACCTCCCCTTCATTGGGGAACCGTGTACGGAACCTGTCCTGACGATCTCCAGCCTGAGACACGTCCAAATTTCTGACACACGGAGTGTACCCCTCTGTTCATTGCAATGTGGGGCAGGGATGGAATGATTGCAGTCAATTACACGTATTTCCCAACCTGGTACTGTATCATCAATGCTTTGCGACCACCACATACCCCACGCGTCGAAACTTCGGATGCTGCGGAGAATGCCGTGGTGAACAAAAAGATCTTACAGCTGCCCCAGACCAACAAAAAGACAAAACTACTCTTTTGGCTCTGCGGAGAAGTTCACACTCCTTTGTTTCCACCTCCCCCACCAGATTCCCGCCAACGAACCGACTACTGCTCAGTCCAGACTTTTTACCTCCCACAGGTAACGGAACAGAACAGAAAGGTAGGTGGGTTTCTTGCTCTACTGTACGTAATTAGTTCTGCTGCTTGCTCTGCTGCTGCCTTTGTTCCTCCGCTCCACTCCGCCGCATCCCTCGTTTCCTTGGCGTCTCTTCGTTCCTCCCGCCCTTGCTCTCCTTGTCCAGCCTGCATCTCGATTCTCGTCGCACCGCCGCGTTTCATTCTCCGTCCTGAGTCGATCCGAAGCTCCCATTCCGAAGCTCGCACACCGGAACTCACACTCCGTAGCTTGCATACACTCCGAAGCTCTCGTTCCGAAGCTCGCACTCCGAAGCTTTCATCCCGAAGCTCGCACTCCGAAGCTCGCATTCCGCCTCGCAAGTGACACAACCGCCGCGTCGCCGTAGTACTTCTAGCCGGATTCGACACAATGGAAAGTGACGTAGTGAGAGCGTGACGTAGTACGAGTGTGACACTATGGGGAGTGACGCAATAGGGGGTGACGTCATGGGTAGTAGTAGCAGGAGTGACGTAAGAGGGAGTGACGTAACAGGGAGTGGCAAAAACGGAGGCTTTTCCCAGCGTGCTTCAGGCCAGCAATGGCGGAGACGGCAGCGGCAGGAGCGGCTATGGTGTATTTCCGTGCTCGTGCTTCTCTTGCTCGCACCGACCATGCAGTACCATCGCCAGCACCCTCAGCAGCTGCAGCACCAGCGGCAGCAGCAGCGCATGCAGCGGTATTACTCGGGCGCCATGGCTTCTTGGGGCACTCGCGTGTTTCCACCAGACTGTGAGTCGCGAGTGTTTTCACATTTTAGTCCGCGTAGTGGAAACAGTCCGCAGGTGTTTTCATATTTAGATCCCCTGTAATGAAACGATTTTGTCCCTCGACTCAAAAGCAGCAGCAGCAGCAGCGCCAGCAGCGGGCTTCCTACGGTTCGTTTCGACCGGTGTGCGACGCGCAGGCTGGAGCTTCGTATAGGTGGATAGGTGGGGATGCACGGTTTGTAACGTACGGATCGTTTTAAAGCGGCGGCGCAGGGTGTGCGTACGGGCTGTAGCAGCGTAAGAAGTTGATAAATGACACGCTGTAGCATGTAGTCGTAGATTCTCGTTCTCAGAATCTCGACCGTTGATTCGCGGAGTGCACCTCTCGTTAACCTTAATCGCAGCCCCACGGGTGGACCAGAAGACTAGCATGCGTGCATTGTCCCAGGCGGCGCTTCCCACCCTCCGCTCCCCCCCCGCTCCCCCCCCACCCTACCTTCCTCTCCCACCCTATCCCCCGCTTTTCCTCCCGCTCCTCCCTCCCGCTCCCCTCCCTCTTCTCTCCCCTGCATCTTTCCCCATCCTCTGTCCCTCTCCTCGCACCCCACCACACTCAACAACGGCAAGCCCTGGTGGCTCAGAGGGAAACCCCTCTGTTAATTGTCAACCCTAGCGGCAGCTCGAAGGCGTTCCAGACTGGGACAGGGAGCGGGCAACATAGATTCTCATCCCCCACCCCCGTTAGAACAGGAACTCACCTCCCTGTTCAATGTGAACCCGTTTCCGACTGCACCCCTCACTCATCTCCCTCTCCCCTCCTCCATCCCCTCCCCGAATGCTCCCTCCCCTCGTCTTCCCCACCCACTACTCCTCCTCCCCGCCGTTGCAGGGAAAGCGCTGGTGACTCTGAGGGACCAGCTGACCTTCGTGAACCCCAGCCGCAGCCCCAAGGCATTGCGGATTGGCAGAGCGAATTGCGTAGGTAGGGAGAAGGCTCATCTGCACTGCGCCCCTTCCTCGTGTTCCCGCCACCCCCCTTTCCCCCTCAACCAGGGAAAGCGCTGGTGACTCTGAGGGACCAGCTGACCTTTGTGAACCCTACCCGCAGCCCCAAGGCGTTCTGGAAGAGCGCGGAGAACTGCGAGGCGTTATATGGTGTCGTGTGTGACGTCAACGGCTACGTCACCGCGCTGTGAGTCCTGGCAAAGGGCAAGTCTGTCTGTCGCTGTTATCGCACTGCTGTGGTCCCCAAGGCGTTTTGCAAGAGCGCGGAGAACTGCGAGGCGTTATATGGTGTCGTGTGCGACGTCAACGGCTATGTCACCGCGCTGTGAGTCCGTCCCTTTTGCTGCTCGCTCGGCATTCCCCAGATGTGAATCGCACTGTGGTCCCGTCCCAAGGTCTCTGGAAGAGCGCGGAGAACTGCGAGGCGCTCTACGGGGTGGTGTGTGACGTCAACGGCTATGTCACCGCACCGCTCTGTGAGTGGCAGAGACGGTTTTGGTATGTTTCCTGGTATGTTATCACGCTAGACACTCTGAGTGCCCAAGGCGCTCTACGGGGTGGTATGTGACGTCAACGGCTATGTCACCGCGCTGTGAGTGGCAGAGACGGTTTCGAGTAGGCTGCTACTATTTCGGGTAGGTTGCTATCTGAGGTTCCTCTACCACTTTCCTCCACCTTCCGCGTGATAAAAGTAATGTTTTGAGACGTCTCAAAACATTTCGGGTAGGTTGCTATCTGAGGTTCCTCTACCACTTTCCTCCGCCTTCCCCTCTGCCCTCTGCCCCCCCCACCCCCTCCCTGCCCTCTGCACCGCAGCACCCTAGTGGGAGTGGTGAGTGAGGCCGCTGCTAAACGCCATGGGAAGAGACGTTTGAGAGTCCCCTACCATACCATTCTCCTATTTGAAATCTTTAAAGCCACCTCCTACCCTGCCCCCTACCCTCTCCACTCCACCTCGCAGCACCCTAGTGGGAGTGGTGGAGCCGCTGCCAGCCGCCATGGGAAGAGACGTTTGAGAGTCCCCTACCCCCTGTGTCAGTCAGACGCCATAGGAGTCCCCCACCATTCTCCCATTTGAGAATCCTCCAAGCCACCTCCTCCCCTGCCCCCTGCCCTGCCCCCTGCCCTGCCCTCTCCACCGCAGCACCCTAGTGGGAGTGGTGGGGCCGCTCCCAGACGCTATAGGGAACCTTCCTTCCCTCTCCTTCCTGTAAGCTTTCTCCTCACTGCTCCGCTCTGCCCCCCTGCTCTCTACCCTCTGGCCCCCCTGTTCTCTACCCTCTGCTTTCCATCCGCTTCCTTCAACAATCCGCCGCATTTCAAAGTCATTCAGTTGAGCTATGTTGGCCGTCTTTTGCATGCCTACCTGGCAAGAGGTACAAGCATGGCTTCATCTTCTCCTCCGCTTTTCCACATCCCCTTCATAAGCAGATCCATTACCAGCAACCTGACAAGGCTTCCCTCCACCCTAGTGCAGCTCAGCTCTACACTCACTGCTCTGTACGCCCTCTTTCCCTCCTCACCCTCACACACACTGTAATTCAGTCCCTCACTTACTCACTTACTCACTCGCTCACTCACTCATTCATGTGTTTTCCAATATCACAGCCAGACTTCTCTTGACAGCCCTTTACTCTACTCTTGCACAGCTCAACATGTGCCTATCCCCTCTCTGCATGTCCCCTCTCTGCCTGTCTCTGCCTGTCCCTTCTCTGACACCATTCCTGCTCTTGTGACTCTCCTACACTCGACTACAGCCACTTGGGCTTTAACAACCTTGCTGGAAACGTCCCTTCCACTTTGAGACGTCTCACAACTCCTCTCCCTTCTCTCCCTCTCCCGCCCGCAGCCACTTGGGCTTTAACGACCTTGCTGGAACCTTCCCTTCTGTTGTGACTCGCCTGCTGCAGCTGCGCACACTGTAAGACGGGCTGCTGGCTGCTCTGCTGCATCGCACTGGTGTGTTATTGGCATGGGATTGGCACCTCACTTGCGTGGGATTGACATGCTGTTTTTTCAGTTGACTCAAAGGTCACTTTACATGGCATTTGCGCAGCATTTGCACCCCATTTGCGCAGCATTTGCACCCCATTTGCACCACGTCTGCATGGAATTTGCAGACCATTTACGTGGGTTGGTGTCCTCCCTTCCCCCTAGCATCTCAGCTTAAAACCATTTCATTCATTCATTCCACATTCTCCTCTCCTTTACTTTTCCCGTTCTCCTTTTTACTCTCCGCCGCCCCATCCCCCAGCAATCTCGCTCAAAACCAGCTTACAGGAAACATCCCCGCTGGCCTTGCAAAACTTTCCCGTCTGGCTTTCCTGTAAGTACCCATGCCATCCCATGCCATCCCATGCCATGCCATGCCATGCCATGCCATGCCATGCCATGCCATCCCATGCCATCCCATGCCATCCCATGCCATGCCATGCCATCCCATGCCATCCCATGCCATGCCATGCCATCCCATGCCATCCCATCCCATGCCATGCCATGCCATGCCATGCCGTGCCATGCTATCCCATGCCATCCCATGCCATCTCATGCCATGCCATCTCATGCCAGGCCATACCATCCCATGCCATCCCATGCCATGCCATGCCATGCCATGCCATGCCATGCCATCCCATGCCATCCCATGCCATCCCATGCCATGCCATGCCATCCCATGCCATCCCATGCCATCCCATGCCATCCCATGCCATGCCATGCCATCCCATGCCATGCCATGCCATCCCATGCCATCCCATCCCATGCCATGTCATGCCATGGCATGCCGTGCCATGCTATCCCATGCCATCCCATGCCATCTCATGCCATGCCATCTCATGCCAGGCCATGCCATCCCGTGCCATGCCAAGCCCACTCCCGCACACTCCATCTCTTTCGCACGTGTCCCTCCCTCTCCCAAATTCAAGTTGCTTTCGAAATTTTATAAAAGCTGCCCCACAGTTTTGACACCGTGACATTCTTCAATCAGTCTTCAACCTTATTCCAACCTTGTTTCAAGTTCAACTGTGTGTGCTGCAGCTTTAAGAGGGCTTATGTTGCCTTGTTGCCTTGTCTTTCCTATCAGCTGCCTTGTTCCTATCAGCTGCTCAAGGGAGATGGAAATAAGTTCCTATCAGTTGCCTTGTTTGCAACTAATTCCCTTCTCCCTTCTCTCATTCCTCCCCTCCTGCGCAGCTGTTTGGACGGCAATCAGTTTACAGGCCCCATTCCCTCGCAGCTCTACTCGCTGCCTTTCAACTCGACTCAAAACACACTTGCCCGCCCCTCCCTTCCTCATGCCCTCCCCCTTCCCCCCCCCACACAGCCGTTTGGACGGCAATCAGTTTACAGGCCCCATTCCCTCGCAGCTCTACTCCCTCACCAACATCTCTTACCTGTGTGTACCACTCTTCCTTCTGTTCAATCATCCAATCAATCGAGAGACCTTTTGAGAGTCTCCCAAGCCTTCATTCCCTCGCAGCTCTACTCCCTCACCAACATCTCTTACCTGTTCGTACCTCCCTTCCTTTCCACTCAACTACTTTCTGAGACATGTCGTGTTTTACATCTCGAGCCTTCCTCAATCCCTCGCTCACCAACATCTCTTACCTGTTCGTACCTCTTAATACCCCTGTGTTTGACGCACTCACCTGTTTTTGAGGCGCCTCAAAAGACCTCCTAGTACCCCTGTGTTTGATCCACGCACCTGTTTTTCGCCTTTTACAATCTTTGAATTTTTTGATTCGTCTTTAAGACGTTTCAAGCTCTACGCCCTCACCTCACCTCTCACCTGTTCGTACCTCCTCGTACCCCCTTGTTTGGCACTTTCACTTGTTGAAATACCCTTCCAGCTCTCCTACTCAAGTACATTCTCTCTTAAGACATCTCAAGGCTTCAAAGCCTCCCATCGCTCATGTCTCCTTTACCTGCTCGCTGCCCCTGCGCTCGCTCTGCCCCTGCCTTCCTCCCTGCCCCCTCCCTCCAGCTCTCTGCGATCAAACCGTCTCTCTGGCAGCATTGCACCGCAAGTCTCAAATTTCAAAGCGCTGCAGCTGCTGTGAGTAACTTCAACTTAAAGCCCTGCAGCACAGCACCTGCTGTGAAATCTCGGAGAAATTCCCACTTGCACCAGCAGCAGCTGCTAAATCTGTTATTATCATCATTATTATTATCATTGTTATTGTTGTTATTATCATCATCATTATTATTATTATTATTATTATTATTATTATTATTATTATTATTATTATTATTATTATTATTATTATTATTATTATTATTATTATTATTATTATTATTATTATGGTTATTATCTAAAAACGGAATTAGTCCCACTTGCACCAGCAGCACCTGCTGGTACTCCCACTTGCTTCACAATCCCTGCCTGGAGCAGGTGCGAGGCAAGGCAGCCTCAAAAATCGTATTTTGAGGCGCCTAAAAAAACCAGCAGCACCGGCTACTACTACCACTTGCTTCACAATCCCTGCAGTGGGTGCAAGGCAAGGCAGCAACCAGTGCAGGAGTCATTTTTGGAGATGCTGCTTGCACTTGTATGTGCTCTGCTGTGCTGTGCTGTGTTGGCATGTCTTTGACATGACATGTTGTGGCATGGCACGGCATGGCATGTGTATGGCACGGCATGGCATGTGTATGGCACGGCATGGCATGTGTATGGCAAGGCATGGCATGGCATGGCATGGCATGTGTATGGCACGGAATGGCATGGCATGGCATGTGTATGGCACGGCATGGCATGGCATGGCATAACATAACAGAGACTTGAGAGACAACATGCTGACGTCATCCATCCCATCCACTCTCCCAGCATGTGTCAAGCTCTTCTGGCTGTAAGTGGAGGGTGGAAAAAACCTTTGAGGTGCCTCAAAAGTCGTCTCATGTTTTGTTTTTGAGGCGCCTCAAAAATGGAGACTGAAACAAGTTTTGAGACGCCTCACAAGCTGGCTGTAAGTGGAGGTTGAAAAATGAGGCTGAAAAGTAGAGGAGCCGGGTATAGAGAACTCCGAAAAAAAAAAAAACAAAAAAAAAAAACAAAACCAAGTACTCTACGCTTTCTTTCTTCATTACACTGCGTCCCCTGCTGTCTTCCTTCGTTGCTGTTTCTTGTGATCTATCTGAGCAGCAGTTTGTCTTTGGGCCTATTTTCACCTTGTTCGTCTCTCAACCCTCTCAGCAATCCATGTTCCTTTCACCCCTCCCCCCGTCGTCCCTATGATCATCCTCCCGCCAGCTATCTGAGCAACAATCGTCTCACAGGCTCTATACCTGCAGCCATCGGCAAGCTATCGAGGCTTAGATTCCTGTGAGCCGTCTCATTCAATGCCTGTGAGCTTCAATGTCTCTTAGATGCCATCTGGTCCCTGTGAACCGTCAGAAGCACAACAGTGGCGCTCTGTGCTCAATGCTTAGTGCTCTGTCAAGTGCCCGTGTGCTCTGTCAAGTGCCTGTGTGCTCTGTCAAGTGCCCGTGTGCTCTGTCAAGTGCCCGTGTGCTCTGTCAAGTGCCCGTGTGCTCTGTCAAGTGCCCGTGTGCTCTGTCAAGTGCCCGTGTGCTCTGTCAAGTGCCCGTGTGCTCTGTCAAGTGCCCATGTGCTCTATCAAGTGCCCGTGTGCTCTGTCAAGTGCCCGTGTGCTCTGTCAAGTGCCCGTGTGCTCTGTCAAGTGCCCGTGTGCTCTGTCAAGTGCCCGTGTGCTCTGTCAAGTGCCCGTGTGCTCTGTCAAGTGCCCATGTGCTCTATCAAGTGCCCGTGTGCTCTGTCAAGTGCCCGTGTGCTCTGTCAAGTGCCCGTGTGCTCTGTCAAGTGCCCGTGTGCTCTGTCAAGTGCCCGTGTGCTCTGTCAAGTGCCCGTGTGCTCTGTCAAGTGCCCGTGTGCTCTGTCAAGTGCCCGTGTGCTTAATTATCTTTCTCTCACTTCCGCGCTTTGTTCTTTCTTCCAGCAACGTATTCCTCTCGAACCCCATTTAGAGGCCATGGTTCAATACGTGGCAGCAAGTTATTCGAGTATGACACCAGAGTTTTATATGTCTCGAAAGATCATTCGATTTTTCGGCATATGCGCAAAATGAGGTAACCACCGTGGCTTGTGTGCGCCTCTGGAACAAAATCTCGTTGCTTGGTCCAGCTAACTGACACACCCCTTCCTTCTCTCCTTCCCACCATCCCTCCCTCCCTTCCTCTGTCTCCCTCTACTCGCCCATTCCCCCCTCTCCCTGTCTCACTCGCCCATTCCCCCCTTCATCCTCCTTGCTGCAGGCTAATATATTCCAACCGCCTCTCTTCCACCCTGCCTGCTTCCCTCTCTGCTCTGCTCTCTCCCTGCTCTCCCGCCTCTCCCGCTCCTTGTCTCACTCGCCCATCACCCCTTCATCCTGCCTCTCCCTCCCATCCCCCCTCACCCACAACCCTGCAGGCTCATAGATTCCAACCGCCTCTCTTCCACCCTACCTGCTTCCCTCTCTGTCTCCCGCTACTCTCCCATCCCGCCCTCTCCTTGTCTCTCCCATCCCACCCTCTCCTTGTCTCTCCCATCCCACCCTCTCCTTGTCCCTCCCATCCCCCCTCACCCACCCTGCTGCAGGCTCATAGATTCCAACCGCCTCTCTTCAACACTGCCTGCCTCCCTCTCTGCTCTCTCCCTGCTCTCCCACCTGTGAGTATGAACTCGGTTCAGAGCGGTGCAAACGGAATCAGAGCTCGCTTCCTCTTCCCCCCCTTTTTATTCCCACTCGTGCCAGCGCTGCCAGCACTATCGCCTTTCATGTCATCTCCTCTTCCTCCTCATCCATCCCTCATTCATATCGGCTCCATCCGTCCCACCCTCAGCTCAGCCCCCTCACTGCCCCTCTCCACCCCTCTCCACCCCTCCCAGCGATGCCAGCAACAACACTCTCACGGGCCCCATCCATCCCGGCCTTGGCGAACTCTCCTATCTCGCCTACCTGTAAGCCCCTCTAACCAAACTCGCTTCACCGCACTGCATCCCTCTTCACCGCCCGTGGTGAACTCTCCTACCTCGCCTACCTGTAAGCCCCACCCTGCCTTAGCCTACCTGTAAGCCCCTCGCTGCCTTAGCCTACCTGTAAGCCCCTCTGTGCCATGTCTCTGAAGTTTATTCAAACACCAGCAACACACCCTCTCCAGCAACAACACTCTCACCGGCCCCATCCATCCTGCCCTTGACAAACTCTCCTATCTCGCCTACCTGTAACTCATTGCACCACACCGCATCTCTCTTCACCGCCCTTGGCGAACTCTCCTATCTCGCCTACCTGTAAGTCACTCTACTCTAGATTTTGAGTCAACTCGGATTAAGGTGCCAGTAACAAACAACCTCTCCTTTAACAACCTCTCCTCTAACAACCTCTCCTCTAACAACCTCTCCATCCCGGCCTTGGCGAACTCTGCTACCTCGCATTCTTGAGGGGTGGATGGGGTAGGTAGGAGAGGGAGTTGATGCTAACCCGCACCCACTGCCATGTCATTTGGGTTAGCAACAACGCCCTCTCCTACCTACCCCATCCATCCCTTCCTAAGTTGGGTCTGTACATTCTTGGACCACGTGTATGAAGATTTGTTTTCAGATGTCTCAAAACGTCCTAAGTTGGGTCTTCATACATGGACCGTACGTTCTTGGACCCGGGTAATATCCAACTTAGATCCCTTCCGGCCTTGGCGACCTCTCCTACCCACCTCGCCTGCGCTGAGTCGATTTTTGAGTCGACTCAAAAATCACGTGATAAAAGAGATGTTTTGAGACGTCTCAAAACATCTCTTTTATCACGTGAGTCGACTCAAGAATCGCCTTGGCGACCTCTCCTACCCACCTCGCCTAAGTGTGTGCCCCTCTACCATTCCTTTTTTTAAGCAAACTCATTGCACCACTGCACTGCATCCCTCTTCACCTCCCCCCTCTCATCCAGCCAATTGGATCGGAACAAGCTTGTAGGGGAAATCCCACCCACCTTGGTCAACCTCCCGTACCTCTATCACCTGTACGTCTGTTCTTATTTACACCTCCCCTCTTTGCGGTCACGCTTGACCCACCACTGACCTCCCACCTTGGTCAACCTCCCTCCCGTACCTCTATCACCTGTACGTTTGCTTTTGTAACGAGGTGGCTTTTGAGTCGACTCAAAAGTCACCTTTTGGGACGTCTCAAAGCACCTTGGCTTGGTCAGCCTCCCTCCCGTACCTCTATAACCTGTACGTTTGTTCTTGTTGTCACCTCCCCTCATCGCTTTGCCTCCCCGATTGGCCCACCACCACTGAACGCCCGCCACTGCTTTGTGACTTTTGAGTCGACTCAAAAACCACCACTTGGCCCACCGCTTTGCCCACCACTGAACGCCCACCACTGAAACCCACCTTGCTCAACCTCCCATTCTTTCACCCCAGTGTTTATCGCACCCCTACCCTGGCACCTTTCCTTCCCCCCACATCTCCTTCCCTTCACATCTGTTTTCTCCCACACATTCACAGACCTCTCGTGCAACCAGCTAGAAGCCTCAGTGCCAGACATCTTTCCCTTTACTGTTTATCGCACCCCTACCCTACCCTGCCACCTTTTCCCCCTCTTCTCCATCTCCGCATATCCACTCCCCCCCCACAGAGACCTCTCGCACAACCAGCTAGTAGGCCCAGTGCCAGACATCTTTCCCCCAGGCAACGAGTTGAGCACGGTGTGAGTATCCGCCTATCTATCCCTCCTTTCGTTGCTCCCTTCTTCCCGTTCACTCACACCATCCCTCCCTCCGTCTCTCATTTCCTTGCAAAAAACTTGGTATCAGTAAAGAAAACCATGCTTCTGGTTTCTGTCTACTGTAAGCGTGGGTTGCAGGTTCAATCACTCTCTCTTCTTTGTGTTTCTTGAGTGAACAAAGCAAACTTTGATTGCAGCAACCAATCTTTTCTTTATTTCTTTCCTTTCCCAAGTCTGTCTGCTTTGTCGCACTTTGGTCTTGAGGTGACTTAAATGTCAAGTTTGCTTCGTCTGTTCTGCAGCACTCTAACCTCTTTGGCGCTTACAAGAATCGAAGCTCCTCTGTCTGATCCATCGCCCTCCCACTCTCATCCCCTTTAGAGACTTGTCTCAGAACAAGCTCACTGGTGTGCTACCAGCCACAGTAGCTACATGCGCATCCCTTGTGTCACTGTAAGTTTCTCTTTCTTTCTTTCCTTTTTCTGTTCCAAATTCTTATTTGTTTCTTTTTACTTTTCTTCTCCACCACTCCCACCCACCCTTCCTCCTCTCCCCTCCCTGCCTCCATCTCGACCCCCACGCACAATCGCATTCCGTTTCCCCGGCAGTGACGTCGGCAGCAACATTGCTCTCAGTGGAGGAACTCTGATCTGATCAGCAGCCTGCTGCACTCTCCAATCTTTCTCCTCTCCTCTCCTCCCCTCCCCTCCCCTCCCCTCCCCTCCGCTCCCCTCCCCTCCCCTCCCCTCCCCTCCCCTCCCCTCGCCTCCCCTCCCCTCCCCTCCCCTCCTTTCCCCTCCGCTCCGCCCCGCTCCGCTCCCCTCCCGGCCGGCAGTGACGTCAGCAACAACGCCCTCAGCGGCAGGCCGGCAGAGCTGATCAGCAACCTCCAGTCGCTCGCGTACCTGTAAGTCGCTATCGCTCCCGTCCCCTCCCTCCCGTCTCGCTCGCGTCTCTGAGTCGACTCAAAGGTTACCTAGCAACAACACCCTCAGCGGGAGGCCAGCAGAGCTGATCAGCAACCTCCAGTCCCTCGCGTACCTGTAAGTGACCTCCCCGCTCTCCCACCCACCCTCGCGCATCTGTAAGTCAATTCCACTTCCCTCCCAAGGTGACGGTTGAGGTGGCTCAAAATTCACCTTTGATCCCTCTCGCACATCTATGAGCCTCTTTCCCTTCCACCCTCTCTCACCCTCTCCCACCCTCTCCCACCCTCTCCCACCCTCTCCCACCCTCTCCCACCCTCTCCCACCCTCTCCCACCCTATCCCACCCTATCCCACCCTCTCTCACCCTCTCCCACCCTCTCCCACCCTCTCCCACCACTCTCCCACCCTCTCCCACCCTCTTCCACCCTTGTCCAACCTCCTCCACCCAATCCCATTCCCCCCTTCCCTCAGATATCCGTAAGCATTTTCCTTCTCTTTCCCCTCCCCACCCCCTATCCCCCCCTTCCCCTCCCCACCCCCTATCCCCCCCTTCCCCTCCCCCTTGTGCCAGCAATCTCTCGCGCCAGATGATGCAAAAGACGCGTCCTGCGTCCTGGACGCATGCGTCCGGACGCACGCATGCGTCCGGACGCAGGACGCTTCACCAGGACCAGAAAGACGCACCAAAAGACGCAGTCCCGGGCAGGCAAAAAAAAACCCCCGGGCAGGCAAAAAAACTTGTTATAGGGCATGGGATGAGGGGGGGGGGGAGGGGGGGGGGGGGGACGTTCCACACTTTCAAGGCAAACTTGGCCCCAACATCAAATTTTCCCCCAAATCTCAAGATTAAGGTGAGTGACGTCACGTATTGTCACACACATGTCCCAAGGTCACATGCACAGTTCATCGTATCACTGAAGAACACACATACTATTAAACTACCACCACAGCACTGCATGCAGGCAACCAGTCATCTCATCCCATTAAACATGGTGTTTGGGCTTTTGCGGTTTCTTCTCCACCCCATCACTAGTGAAACGCTGCGGGGGAGACTCGTCCTCGGCATGAACATCCCTAGATGCGTTAGATGACGTAGGGTTGCTTGAGGAAGCCATAATGGAGCTAAGCTATGTTTGTAGGCTAAAACCTCTAGGGTTTTCGAAAGAGAATTGGTTGGGTGGGTGAAATGAGAAATGACTTGGTTGGATTGCTAAATGAGCTTGGTGGTAGGCACCTTGGTTGGGTTTTCTAGATGTGAAGTGGTTGAGAGGTATTTGGAATTCAATGGTTGCATGGGGGGTTATGAAATGTTGGGGGGGGGCTGTTTTTCAATGTCGAATTGGGCAATGGGGGGTCAAAATTTCGCGATTTCGACAGTCGCGTCGAAATCGCGAGATTGAAATTCGTAATCTGGAAAAAAAAAAAAAAAATCGGGGCAGCCCGAAAAATTTTCGATCTGCGTCCTGCGTCTGGACGCGCGTCTTGCGTCCTAGTGTCCAGACGCTGCGTCCAGACGCAGGACGCAGCGTCCTCTGAGCGTCTTTCGCATCGCCAGCAACTATTTCACCGGCCCTCTTCCCAAAATCGCCCTCTTCCCAAAATTTACTTCGCCACAGCAATCGCCCTCCTGGACCTCTTCCGCAACTACTTCTCTTTCCTATCACACCAACCAACTCCATCCCAAACCTCCCTTTTTTCCCCCCTCTCTCAAACCCCCCCCCCCCCCCCCCCTCCTTCCCCCGCCCCTCCGTTCCCCCCGCCCTGCCCCCCGCCCCACGCCGCATCCCCACACCCCCCCACATCCCCCCATCCAGCAATCTCTCGCGCAACTTTTTTACCCGCCCGCTTCCCAGAGTCTACTCCGCCACAGCCATCGCCCTCCTGGACCTCACTTCTCCTGCAGCTACCTCTCTGTCTCATCACACCAGCGCCAATGCCAATCCTCCTTTTTTTCCCCTTCTTTTTCTCCTCCACTTCTCCCTTGCCGCACGCCCCATGCTCCCCCCACATCCCCCCCCATCCAGCAATCTCTCGCGCAACTATTTCACCGGTCCCCTCCCCAAAGTCTACTCCGCCACAGCTATTGCCCTTCTGGATCTCTCCCGCAACTACTTCTTTGGTCCGGCAAGCATCGTAGACACCCAGGGCATGCCGCTGCTCTCCCAAACCTCCGCCCCAGGCTCGGGAACCATCCAGAGCACCGGAGCTGCAGGTTCGGTGGCGCTGAGCGTGGGGAGGAACTGCCTTGTGTATGATCTGACAGGGACCGGAGCAACAGCAGCATCAGGCTCGGTGCTAGGTTTGGAAGGGCAGAGGAGCGTGGACGACTGTAGCTCGTTCTGCCGAACCGGACTGAGTGGTTCGGCAACCGAAGCTGAGAACATGCAGTGTGGAGGCTCGGGGGTGTGCCTTGCCAAGGTGGTAACCAGGAAGTCGCCTCCAGCGGTTTCGTTCACATGTAAGCAGTACACATTGCACTGTGGAGTGGAAACATGGGAGTCATTCTTGAGAATTCTAAAAATGGAAACATGGGAGTCACACTTGAGAATTCTAAAAATGGAAACATGGGAGTCACTCTTGAGAATTCTAAAAATGGAAACATGGGAGTCACTCTTGAGAATTCTAGAAATGGAAACATGGGAGTCATTCTTGAGAATTCTAAAAATGGAAACATGGGAGTCACTCTTGAGAATTCTAGAAATGGAAACATGGGAGTCACTCTTTGACAATTCTAAAAATGGAAATATGGGAGCCACTCTTGAGAATTCTAAAAGTGGAAACATTCATGCATAATTCTTCCCACTAGATTCATCCCATTAAATTCTTCCCATTAAATTCTTCCTATTAAATTCTTCTCATTACATTCTTCCCATTGAATTCTTCCCATTAAATTCTTCCCATTAAATTCTTCCCATTAAATTCTTCCCATTAAATTCTTCCCGTTAAATTCTTCCCATTAAATTCTTCCCATTAAATTCCTCCCGTTACATTCTTCCCATTGAATTCTTCCCATTAAATTCTTCCTATTAAATTCTTCCCTTCTCACATGACCTGCTGCTACAGTACTCCTCCCCCCCTCGCACCTTCTCCTCACCTCTTCCTCTCCGTCCTCTCCTAACGTAGGTTCACCCTCATTCTATGCCTCGTTTTCTCCCTTGATTTTCCCCTCATTTCTTCCTAACCGTTTCTCGTTCTCTTCCTCTTTCTCTTTCCCTTTTCTCCCCACCTGTTGCCCTGCTTGGATCCTCTCCCATGCCAGGTGCACCCTCTCCTGGATTGCCCAGAAAACCCCCTCCGCCCCCCCCGTCCCCTCCCCCTTCCCCACCACCGCAACCACCACCTTCCCCTCCCCTTACCCCACCCCCCTCCCCCCCTCCTCCTTCCCCACCGTTTTCCTCCCCGCCCCCACCACCCCGCCCTCCTCCCCCCGACTCCATTCCATCCCCGCCTTCCCCCCCTGACTCCCCCTCACCCCCTCCTTCCCCCCCTGCCTCCTCCCCTCCCCCGCCTTCACCCCCCGACTCTCCCCCTTCTCCTCCATCTCCCCCTTCCCCCCCTGACTCCCCCTCACCCCCACCTTATCCCCCCGGCTCCTCCCAACCCCCCCCATCTCCCCCTGACTCCTCCCCTCCCCCACCTTCTCCCCCCGACTCCCCCCCAAACCCACCTTCCCCCCCCGACTCCCCCCCTCCCCCTCACCTCCCTCCCCACCCTTGCCTCCTCCTTCTCCTCCTCCCCCCTCACCTCCTCCCTCTCCCCCTCCTCCTTCTCCACCTCCCCCCTCACCTCCTCCCTCTCCCCCTCCTCCTCCTCCTCCCCCCTCTCCACCCCCTCCCTCTCCTCCTCCATCCCCTCCCTCTCCTCCTCCCTCCCCTCCTCCCTCTCCTCCTCCCTTCCCTCCTCCCTCTCCTCCTCCCTCCCCTCCTGCCTCTCCTCCCCCGCCTTCTCCCCCCAGCCCACCCCCATCCCCTCCCCCACCCCCCGCGCCTTCTCCCCCACCCCTTGGGTGCTTCTGGAATGGCATAAAGTTTATTTGCAATAAGGTGTAGGGGGGACTGGGAATGCTGTAGGGGGAACTGGGAATGCTGTAGGGGGGACTGGGAATGCTGTAGGGGGGACTGGGAATGCTGTAGGGGGGACTGGGAATGCTGTAGGGGGGACTGGGAATGCTGTAGGGGGGACAGGGGAATGCTCTAGTTGGGACTGGGAATGATGTAGCAGCGACTGGGAATGGTGTTGGGGGGACTTAGGCAGCTGTAACAGGGACTGGGAAAGCTGTAGTAGGGACTGGAAAAGCTCGGACTGGGAACGCTGCAGCAGGGACTGGGAAAGCTGTAGCAGGGACTGGGGCAGGTGGAACATTTGGGGCAGCTGTAACACCAACGAGGCCATTAGCAGGAGAAACAGGGGCGGCTATTGAGGCAGTGGGGAACTGGAGCAACAGAGGAAGCTATAGCAGAGACTGGGAAATCTGTAGCACCAACAGGGGCAGCTGTAGCACCAACGAGGGCAGCTGTAGCACCAACGAGGGCAGTAGCACGAGAAACAGGGGCAGCTGTTGAGGCACTGTTGAAGTGGAGGAACAGAGGAAGCTGAGACAGAGACTGGGAAAGCTGTAGCACCAACAGGGCAGCTGTTAGCACCAACAGGGGCAGCTGTAGCAAATGCAGTTTTTGTAAGAAAACAAAGCAGCAGTTGGGCTATTTGCGGGAGAATTGTGTCACTGGCATGATAATAACCCGAAGTGGAAACTAGTAGGTCAGGTGGAAGCAGGCATGGAGGGTGGAGCACTCTGTCATGCAGACAGTTAACTTTGAAGCAACAGAGTGCTCTCACTAATTTATTTCCCTTTGTAGATGGTCCATCCGACCAGTAATCTTATTATATTTGTATTTCATATTTTCTTCGAGTTTAGTGCCTTTTGTTGCTAATTATAAAGCAAAATACTTCTTTTATCAACTGTTCGACATTGAGGCGTTTTGTGGCGGGAGATGGTTTCGAGCTTTCGCAAGTTCTGGCCCCTGCGAACATTCGGGCGTGTTCGGCAGCACAGGGGTCCAGTGAGTTGGAGGGGTAGGAATCCAAATTCGAAGCTAGGGTTTCTCGTTTGGGCTGGTCTATCCAAGTCAACCGTCGTTGACTCAAGGTATGGGGTCCAGGCGCAAGCGGAACGTTTTGGGGGGAAGGCGCGGACGGGCGATTCGATATTATGGGGCGAACGAACCTGAAGCGGCGCGAGGCGAAGCTTCACACGCAAAACAGTTGTCGGCCTGCCTGTCGCGTTTACTGCTCCGAAATGTTTTTTAGCTCACCTCCCGTCGGCCATTATCACTTAAATGAAGCTGTATGTCCAAATTTAACAATGCTAGGTCGGCTTCAATAGTTGTTGTTTTTGTATCTTGCTTTTTTAACTTCATATTTCTAATGTAGTGTCTGCTCAGAAATTTAGAGTCTAGGGTAGCCATTCACACGAAATGCATGGATCGAGGGATACAATTTTCTATCCCTCGTGAGGTCTGGCAGCCCAAAAGGGTACTAGGGCTTTTTCCGTTATTGGGGAGGATCTGGGGGAGGATGCGACACGAAAGCATGCCTAGCGTGGGCTTCGCGTCGCGTTTTCGGGCCACGTCCGTCATTTCTTTCACAATTTTGGGGTCTGACCGTAGTGTTTTGCCTGGTACGTCAAGGACGAACCTGGAGGCCCGGGATTTAGATTCCCCTTCAGACCCTCTCCCCTGGCTGCCGAACACCACCTTGGCGTGTTGGGCAAGCGATGGTCAGCATTCTTCTTGCGACAAGGGTCCGTTCTTCGCACAGCTCGCTAGTGTGGAGTAGTAGCCTAGCCATCAAACAAGGCCCAAAACAGACAAAAACAAGAGGCGACGAAATCGTCTTAGGGTTGCGAAGCATTTTACATAACGATATGTACACAAATTTTTACATTTTACATAACGACATGTACACAATTTTCTACAAGTGCGAATACTTTAATAAAAACCTGTGGTAATTGACATATATAGCAAGACTCGAAAAAGCAGCATTAGCAGGGTTCGAACCTACCTCGTTCATACCCAACGCCTTTCCCCTACCGACTGCACTAGCGCTACTGGACAGAAAAGCAACATGAATATATACAGTACATGACATAACGACGAATCTGACACTTTGTTAGGTTGGCTCTTCCTTTCATTCTCCCTCCCTTCCGCTCGCTGGTTTAGCTCCCCGCTACTCACGCCCCACCTACCCGTTCCTACTAAGGTGAGAACAACTCTACCTTACCGTTTCAAGTAGAATTAAGTTACCTGATTTCTAGCGAGACTAGCATGCGTTAATCTCGTACCATAGTTGTTTACTCTTGTGTTGGCCGCGTTTTAAAAAAATAGTTTGATTAAGCCTGTGTTCTAGGTTCTAGGTATTCGTTTTCTCTTTCTCTTTTCTTCTCGCCAGTGGAGCTTGTTCTTTTGCCTCACGCTACTTACGCTCCACCTACCACTCCAAGGTCAGAAAGTTTAAGATGTCATTTAGAGTTGTTAGCTCATGGTAAGATGTAAGCTCTTATTGTCGTCATTTACTTCCTATTCTTAGTTAGCCCTCCCTTTCCTACTTCCTCTCGTTCTGCTGACGGGCTACGGGACTTCCGCTAGGTAAGCTCCTAACTTGCAACTTAAACGCGTTCGATACTTGTTAGGTCGACTTAATTCTAACACAGGACGGCTTAGATCTAAACTAGGTCGGCTTAGATCTTGTTTTTACACATGTTTTTTTTCGAAATCGTAGAAATCGTAATTTATTGAACACTCTCTCTATCTCTCGTTCGTTCTCGCTCGTTCTCTCTCTCGTTCTCTCTCTCTCGTCCTCGTTCTCTCGTTCTCTCTCTCTCGTTCTCGTTTTCTCTCTCGTTCTCTCCCTCTCTCTCATTCTCTCTCTCTCTCTCTCTCTCTCTCTCTCTCTCTCTCTCTCTCTCTCTCTCTCTCTCTCTCTCTCTCTCTCTCTCTCTCTCTCTCTCGTCCTCTCTCTCGTCCCCTCTCTCTCGTCCCCTCTCTCTAGTCCTCTCTCGCTCCTGCTCTCGCTCTCGCTCTTCGTTGTTCTCGCTCTCTGTATTCGTTATATTCTCTTCTTTCGTTTACTGTCTCGGTATTTTGTTCCTCTATTCCCGTTCCTTATTTTCGTTTTATGCCTCGTCAGATTCTTCTCCATGCTCTTAGTCAAGTCTAACCATTCAATGCTCACGGCGTTTTTCTTAGCCCTTGTATTGATTCATTTGTTTCTTCGTTATTCCTGTTTCTCTTCATTTCATCACACCTTATGCCTTTTTTCTGTTTTGTTTGTTGTACCGGCTATTCATTTCCGTTCCTCCTTTCCACTTCCTAAACCCGTTTGTCAGGGGCATTTCCGGTCAGGAACGCGATTTCAATCCAGAAAATGTGTATTGGTCACTAGGATTTATCGTATTGTCCTTTTAACATTGATTTACTTGTTATGTTGTTCGCGTGTATCTCGTGTTTTTTGGCTGGGTTTGCCGGAGCTCGTGTTTTTTATTGTGTGAATGTGTTTGTTCGTGTGAGTGCATTCATCTCGTCTGTCATTGCAATATCAATGCATGTCTGTCAATTTTAAAAAGGGGGTTCATTTTTATCATTTCTAATTGGTTCATTGGCGCACTCAGTGACTCGTGTGTTTGCCACTTCGAACTGGATTTGATAGAGTGAACCTCTTTTTTAGAGTTAACAGATTGTATTTTTTCATGTGCTAGTTGATTATTCAAAGATTTTGCTATTGACCTCCCCCCCATGCTAGGCAGGGGATGGCGATAGCTTAGTTTTTGGGTTGTTAACTGTCACGCATTTTATCATGTGCATGTGCATCATTCATCACATATCACATGCATTATATACATCATTCTATGCATTATGCATTGTATAGCATCATTTATGCATTACGCATGCACCTCTTCATCATTACACAACATCATCTAACAGTAACATATAATGCAAACAGTACAGCAAATCTCCACTAAACAATTGCAAAATATTCATATGGAATAATGCACTATGAACAGTACCGTATTCAAAACTGCTCAACATGCATACAGTTTGGGAAGGGTAGTACTGTAGTTGACAAAATTTATTTTCATGGTTTTTTTAAAAAATATAAACATGAAAATAAAATTTGGCAAAATCGATCGTAAAGGGTAGCTTCGCAACCCAAAAATTCACTTTTTGGGGCCGGAAACGGTCGGTAGCGCCCAGTAGCACTACCGACCGCGTCAACAAGCTGCCCGCGGGCAAAACAAATAAACCCTATGGCTGCCGGCATGCCATTCGGGAGCCTCAACCCTAACATTTTAGGGTTGAGGCTCCCTCGGATGGCATGCCATCCGAGTGAGTTATAGTTTTTTTTCTCTTGCCCGCGGTCAGCTTGCTGACTCGATTGCACTGCCAGCTGTGCAATATATTCTTCCAGTTCTGTCCAGACGACGGCTAGGGGCTTGGTCTTGATTCTTATGGCGAGAGCTGCCACTTTAGCGAGTCTGCGCGAAGCGCTAAATCTTTGCTAGAAAACTTGAACCGTTACAAGCACGCGTCGCTTCATGTCCGAGGTGTCGTGAAAGGAGTCGGGGAGGGGGCGAAATGTTGGACAGCTTCGGGTGTGCCGTCCAAAACTTGAAATTCTCAGGCCAGATCCAGTCAGCGAGTTACAGATTTTCAAATCAGGACAATAGAGAAACGCTGCATTGTTCAGAATGAACAACATGACTTCTGCTGCCATTAGTGGGCTCGAACTGCTTGGATGTGCTGTGGAAACAGGTATTAACCAACTCGGTTGTTCCATCTGGACCTGATCGGTTTGGCTCAGTCAGCCCCTCTGCGCTCCGTTGGGAGCCAATGGATGAACGGTGTAGCGCCTCGCGACGCGATTTCTCGAGTCCAGCCCTCAATTCGAGACGCGTTAGCCCCCCCCGCTCGGTCGGAATTTGTACCAAATAGTCCCTACATCCAGAACATAAATTGCACTCCTCGTCATTTCATTCATTCAGTTTTACCTACCGCTCACGCAAAGTAGCAACCTCATCGCATTCTTTCGGTTCAGAAAGGCCTATCCCAGCAGAAGTGCCCCTTGCTCTACTAGCCTTTGTGTGGGGCTGAAGTGACTCTTCCCGTTTGTGAACTCCTCTCTCCGCCAAAATGGAAGCCGATTGGATGAAACGCGCGGCAGTCTGGACGTTCGCTGGCTTAGGCCTCGCGCTGGCCGTCATCTCCTGCTCCGAGATGGCGGACAATTACCTCGTCATTTCCAACCCGAGCGCGTGCGTCGCGTCGACCAATAGCACCCACTGCGCGGCGGAGTTCCGCGTGGCGCGGCGCTCTCTAGGCGTGGTGCCGCAGTCGCAGGAGCAAGTAACCGTTGCCATGGTTGCGGGGGTGCGAGCGCAAGTCGCGGCGATCATCGCGGCGGCGGACGAAATCAAAGCCAGCAACGTGCGGAACGATCACTTCACGAACGCCATGGCGCGGGCCTGCGCGCGGCAGGCGAACATCGCGCTGCGATACCTGGGGCAAGCGGGCGACGCCATCGAAGCCGGCACGAATCAGCGCGACGTGCCGTATTGGCTCGCTGCTGCCGACACGCAGGTCGATAACTGCGTCGATGGATTCCAAACCTTCTCGCCCTCGACGGAGGGGCTCCCCGCTTACATACACCTCGAGGTTAGTTATATGTTCGATCGAAACAAAATAACACCTCGGTTTTTTTCCGCGCTGAATCATGAGGATGCGTACCCTTTCTAGTCCTATTTTCCCCTTGTACCGCTTCTCCCTTCCCCTTCGACTGCTTCTCATTACTCGTTTCCCTCCATTGCTCGTTTCCGAAACGCAGTTTCTCATAAATAAATCGATCATGGTTAAGAACGGTGCCCCATCCAAACCCCTTCTTTTCTCTTTCCTCAGTACACGGCTAAGAAGGCGGGTAGCACGCTCGAAGCGCTCGTCTCCATCACCAACGCCGCCGCGAAAGCCGCCGTAGCCGCCGCAACCGACGTCCCATCGACGGAGGAGGACGTGGCGCCCGTGCGCGGACGCCGCATGGCCGTCCGATCCAGCAGCGGCGCGGGATCCGCGGGGAGCGGCGCGTTGGACTGGCTCGAGCCGGGCTTGTACGCACAACTGCAGGAGCTTCAGACGAGGATGAACGCCGAGTTCGCCGCCGGTGCTGGCGGGGAGGATTCGGTGGGCGGCTACTTGGGGAGAAGGCAATTAGATGACGACGATGATGATGACGAGGAGGAGGAGGATAGGAAGGACGAGGAGAAGAAGGCTAAGAAGGAGCAGGAGAAGAAGGATAAGGAGGAGAAGAAGAAGAAGAAGAAGAGCAAGGAGAACGAGGACAGCGAAAGCGATAGCGGCGATAAGAAGAGCAGCAAGAAGAAGAGCAGCAAGAAAGCGTCTCCCACCGCTGGCCCGATGGTCGTCAGTCCGTCCCTTACCGCCAGTGCGACCGTCGGATCTGGGTACTCGACGATCCAGGCCGCGATTGACGCCGCACCCGGCGGCACGCGGTTCGTGATTTACATCCCCGCGGGGACGTACAACGAGCAGGTGCTTATAGAGACGACGGATATTGTTCTTATCGGCGCCGGCGCGGATAAGACGATTATCACTGGCGACGAGAGCTATGGCAGCGGCTCGGGAACGTTCGAGTCTGCCACTGTTGGTGTCGATAGCGACAGGTAATGCCGCCCGTCCGTGCCCTGCTCCCCCTTTCCTGATTGCCTGGCCTGTCGTTTCCCTCGCTTCATGACTTCTCTTCTCATGCCTGACATTCCCCTAACCACCCACCTGGTTACCACCCGACAGGTTCGTCGCGTTCGGAATCAAGTTCGTCAACACGGCAGGTCCCGAGAACCACCAAGCCGTCGCGTTCCGCGCCACGGGCGACCAAACAGCTCTTTTCGACTGCGCGTTCGACGGCGCGCAGGACACGCTGTATGTGGACGCGGGACGACAATACTACAAGAACTGCTGGATTGGCGGCTCGATGGATTTCATTTTCGGCGACGCGGCGGTTGTAATCGACGCGCCGAAGGTCCAACTACACCCGAGCCCTTCGTTTGTGACTATAACGGCGTCGGGGCGCAAATCGGAAACGCCAACCGGGATCGTGATTCGCGACGCGGACATCGCGGCGGACAGCGGTACTACCGAGGTGTATCTGGGCCGTCCGTGGAAGAAATGCGCCTTCACCGTTTTCATCAACGCCAATCTCCCCGCGGTGAGATTCGCTTATTACCAGCCCTATACACCCCTATGTACCCCTTCTGCACCCGTATGCAACCCGTATGCACCCCGTAGAAGAAATGCTCCCTCACCGTTTTCATCAACGCCAACCTCCCCGCGGTCAGTTTCACACAAAGAAAAACCTCGATATAGCATACCCTCGTTTAACCTCACCACTATCCCACACTTTTCTGCTTTCCGCATCCCTTTTTTCCTCGCAGGTGATCGAGAAGGACGGCTGGTTGTCGTGGAACGAGGGCAGCTGCATGTAGCCTCACCTCTTCCCTGCCTTCTCATCATTCCTCATCACCTCTGTTTCCGCGCCTCCATCCCTCCGCAGGTGATCGAGAAGGACGGGTGGCTGTCGTGGAACGAGGGCAGCTGCATGATCCTGGCGGAGGCGGGCAGTAAGGGTCCTGGCTGCATGGTCACTCACCTCCTTTTCACCTCCTTCCATCCCCTCCTCCCCCAACCCCATCCACCCTCATTCCCCCCTCAGGTGATCGAGAAGGACGGGTGGCTGTCGTGGAACGAGGGCAGCTGCATGTTCCTGGCGGAGGCGGGCAGCAAGGGGCCGGGCGCGGCCTCCCCCCGCGCGGATTGGGTGGAGCCGGGGATTATCACTGACGTGAGCGGGTATGACGCGAATAGCTTCACTGAAGTGAACAGCTGGCTTAGCTGGGCCGGGTAGTTGCTTCTGTGAAAGGGGAGGGGGAGGAGTTGAGCAGTAGGGCAGGGAGGGCGGCAGCAGGGTGCAGTTTGCAGTAGCGCTGACGTCCAGGGCAGTGGTCGATGCAGGCCTTCCAGGGTAATCTCTGACGTGTTGGGGTATGACGCGACGCGAATAGCTTTTAACTGCCCCACTGACGTGAATAGCTGGCTCACTTGGTCGGGGTAGCTGCTTCTGTTCCGAGGAGCAGCAGCACCGGAGTGGGGGGAGGGGGGGGGGGGGGGGGACATTAGCTCCAGCAGCGGAGCAGGGAGATGGGCAACATCAGCAGTAGGAGCAGCAGCAGAGAAGGGAGGGCAGCAGCAGCAGCAGTAGAAGCAGGGGGGCAGCAGAAGAAGCAGTGGGGCAGCAGCAGGAGGAGCATGAGAGACCATGTGTTGACTTCAGCAGTCACGAGTGGAGCTGCAGCCCTCACAAGAAACAGCAGAGAGTAACGGCAGTGAAAAGTCCACTTAGGGAAAAATCCGCTCCGGACCTTAGTTAAATTTAGGTGCCCTATTTGAGCTATGCAAACTATCTTATGGCGGAATACTTGTGCTGTATTTGGAAGTACCACTTCAATCAGACTCTTCCTTCTTGAACAAACAGCATGTATTTCTAGTCAGCATGTATTTTCAGCATGTAATTGGTTGTCGTGGCGAAATAATAGTCGGGGGCTTCCAGTTTCAGCGTTTCCCATATTGGATTCTCTGCATTCATGTCGTGTGTACAGCCTTTCGATGCCCCTATTTCATTCATGGCAACCAGATAGCGTGGTACACTACCAGCTTGAGGCAGTTTTGTGTTTTTATTAGTACGTCGCAGCTTAAAATGGAATACTGGTAAGGTTCTTGATAAAGACTCGTACTCATACTGATACAGACTCTTTGGTTTTACTATACTTTTCTTTTTTTTAGAGGCATTATGTAAAACAGCCTGGTGGTGTAATGCCCTTGTCCTGCAAACGAGATATCTGACAGTGTATCTAACTACTTTGTGTTGATCTTGCCTTCAAGGAAAACTTCTTACCGTATCTGGATCCGCTACAGGCCTCGTTGGACCAGGCTGATGCATCAGCCTTGTGTAGAGAAGATAGCGACTATGGTGGTTCACTAAGGTGGTTGAGAGTACAAGTAGAAACCCTGAAGGGTTATACTCTCTAGTGAGTACCCCAATGTAGCCTACAGATATATATAATGTTTGACACACCCCCATAGGCGTAGTGGGGGACATCACGAACACCAAGCGATCATAAGAGCAGTCAAGAGAAGCAACAATGCAAAGCTCAGGGTGGATCACAAAGTCACCACACAGTCCGAGCACAAGAAAATGGTAACAAGGCCAGTTCACATGCAGTATAGTGTGAGAAAATTAGAACGAGAATGGAATGACTAAGTGAAAGTTGGGTACAAATACAAACCCTAGAAAGCTGTACCCCATATGTGCTACCCCACTATAGCCTACAATAGCTATGTCATATATATCTGACACATCCCCATAGGCAAAGTGGGGGAGTACAAGGGGTCACAAGACCAGTCAAGCAAAGCAAGCTCAGGGTGGATCACAAAGTCACCACATAGTCCGAGCACAAGGTCAAGGCCACAAGGCCAGTTCACATGCAGGAGTACACATATATATATATATAAGGCTAAACAAGCAAGAGCAGGTATATATATATATATATATATATATGTAAGAGTACAAGCAAGGTCAAGGGGTGAGCAAGTGAGGCAAGACAGGGACAAGACCCAGCTGAGTGCAGAAGCGCTGATGATCACAAGGCGGAAGTGCCTTGGTGAAAACATCAGCAGTGTTGGCCTCAGAGGCCACGTACGCAAGCCGCAACTGACCACGCTGCTGTAGCTCACGAGCAAGGAAGTAGCGAAGAGCAATGTGCTTTGTTCTGTGCTCCAGTCTCTGCTCTCGACACAAGGCCAGCATGGCCTTGTTGTCTACGTACAGGACTGGAGGAGAACGAGGCGGCTCTCCAAGGTCGGTCAGCAGGTAGGTGAGCCAGCGAAGCTCCTGTGCAGCCATGGCCCCGGCGTAGATCTCAGCCTCACAACTGATGCCAAGAACAGAAGACGAGCGAGTAGACCGCCACGAAACAGAGCCGGAACCAAGGCTGAAGGTGTAACCCTGTGACGACCGCTGCGTAGCCTGGTCGTGAGCCCAAGAAGCGTCCGCGTGCACAGTGAGGACCACTGGACTCCGCCCTCCAAGCACTAGCCCCATGCCCGACGTACTGCACAAGTAGCGCAACACCCTCTTCGCTGCAGCCATGTGCTCTGGTCTGTGTCTCCCAAGAGCAACATAGCGAGCAAGAATGTTAAGAAGGTATGCAAGGTCAGGTCGTGTGCAGGTCATCAGGTACATGAGGCAGCCAACAAGCTCTGGGTACGGGCCACTCGACTCTACGGACTCATCCGAAGGCAGAGCTGAGAGCGAGTGGCGAGTAGACAGAGGAGTGGCCTGAGGCGAGGAGTACGTGAAGCCGAAGCGCTGAAGGACCTGCTGCACCATGTGTGACTGAGTCAGGGTAATGGTGCGGCGTGCTCTGTCCCGGGTGATCTGCAAGCCAAGGTAGCTGCGCAGTTCACCCAGGTCTGTGCACGTGTGTCTCTTCTGCAGCTCGGACTTCACGTGGGCGAGTCCAGCAGTGTCAGCAGTGGCAAAGACCAAGTCGTCGACATACACGAGGATGTAGAACGGCGGCAAAGAGGTGTCGGTGCGTAGAAACAGCGACGGGTCGGCAATAGAGGGAGCAAACCCAAGAGCCGCAAATGTAGTCCTCAGTGTGTCGTGTCACTCGCGCGGTGCCTGGCGGAGACCGTAGACTGGCCGTCGGAGGCTCCACTGGGTGCCAGGAGGGAAAGTCCCAGTGAAGCCAGGTGGACGGCGCAACCAGATCTCCTCGTGCAGGCTACCCTGCAGGAACGCAGTGCTGAAGTCGAGAGAGTGAAGCTCGTAGTCGCGCTGAGCGGCTATGTGCAGCAGCACCCGAAGAGTGGTCATCTTCGGGGTGGGAGAGAAGGTCTGAAAGTAGTCAACTCCCTGCCGCTGACTGAAGCCACGAGCAACGTACCGCGCCTTGAAGACAGGTGGAGAGCCCGGTGGCCGCTTCACCCTGAAGATCCACATGCCACTGACGATGTTCGCCCTAGGAGGGGGAACCGCGTCAACGTAGGTGCCTGTGGACTTCCACAAAGCCATCTCTGCATCCATAGCTGCCTGCCACTGAGAGGAGTAGGGACCCTCTACGGCCTCCGCGTAAGAGCGCGGAGTCGAGATGTCAAGTGCATCCGGGTCTCCCTTAGGGGTAAGGAGTATGAACACGAGATGGGGTGAAGCAGCCGCTAGACACTGGAACTCCTCCTGCCTGTCCTCAAGGACGTCCGTGCCAAGAGCACACTCACCCTCGACGGACGGAGGTCAGACAGATGCAGACTCAGCAACAAGACTAGCAGCGTAGTCTAGACGACAGCGAGCAGCAAAGTCGACGAGCTCAGCAACAAGAGCAGACGCAGCAGTGGACTCAAAGGAGGGGTCAGTGACGACAGTAGCAAGGAGACGCGTGACAGTAGGACTGGCAGCACGAAGAGAGTCCGACTCCGGGTCGGCAAGCGCAGGAAGAGAGGACTCAGGAGGAGAAGGCAAAGGGACACGAAGAGGAGCAGTGGACGGACGTAGAGACATCCGGTGCGTGCCAGGGGCAGGAGGAGGACGCTGACGCGAACCGCGACCACTAGCGCGAGCAGGACGAGACGCAGGCTCACGACGCTCAGCAAGACCTCCAGTAGGACCAGTGTAGGGAGAGGGAGCAGGCAGTGGGGAGGCCGGCGGTAACTGTGACTGTGACTGGACAAGCGGTGGACACTCTACAGGAGGAGGAGGACCCAGAACCTGCTGAAGGAGCGGAACGAAGTACGGCCGAGGCCGCGCGGGGACTCCAGACATAGCAGGGACAGCACCAGCACCCTCAGCACCTCTAGCACCTCCAGCACACTCAGCACCTCCAGTAGCACCAACGCCAACAACACCTCCAGCTGCAGTACCACCAGCAGCACCAGCAGCAGGACCGCTGCCAGGACTGACAGCAGTAGCCTCAGCGCCAACACCCTCAGCTGCCCCAGCTCCAGCCGGACGAGAACCTCTGGGACCAGCGGCACCAGCACCCTCAGCGGCCGAAGAAGCTCCAGCTCCAGCAGTATGCCGCCAACGCCGGGCAAACCACTCGCGCAACTCCTGTGGAGAGAGTGGCTCTCGCCGAGAAGAGCCAGGAGAACCACCAGGCCCAGCATCGCCAGACGCCACACGAGCAGGTCCAGCGGCCGCTGGCTCCGCACCCCCAGGCTCAGGAGCTCCAAACACAGCACCCCCAGGCTCAGCAGCTCCAGACGCAGCACCCCCAGGCGAAGGACCCCCAGGCTCAGCACCCCAAGTTGTAGCACCCCCTGGCTCAGCACCCCCAGTCGCAGCACCCCCAGGCTCAGCACCCCTAGGCTCAGCACCCACTCGCGCAGCACCCTTAGAGTCAGCACCCCCAGGCTCAGCACCCGCAGCAGTACCAGAGTCACCAGCAACCTCGACCGGCTCGACTGCGTCTACCTGAGACACACCTGAAGGGGCAGGACCCTGAGGGGGGAGGGGGTCTACCGGGGGGGGACCTGGCACAAGGAAGTGCGGTGGCGGGGGGAGGGAAGGAGTGCGGTAGAGGAAGAGACGGTAGTAGGGGACCGACTTGTCAAACGTGACGTCCTGGGAGGACAAAACACGACGAGAGGAGGGGTGGTAGAACTGCCACCCTGGTGCGTCAGGGGGGAAGCCAAGGAAGACACAAGGAGCAGCACGAGGGAACAGCTTGTCCGCAGACAAGTCGCGGACAAACGCCCGAGATCCCCAGACACGGAACGCAGACGCATCGCCTACCTTCCCCGTCCACAGCAGAGCTGGGGAGGTCTCCGGCATGGAGACCCTGGTGTGAAGGTTGAGCTGATGCGCCGCGTACCGAACTGCAAACGGCCACAGAAAATGGGGGGCAGCCGCATGCATCATGGACGTACGAGCGACGTCCATGACCATGCCAATGCGGCGCTCAGCAAACCCATTTTGCTGTGGAGAGTCCGGAAGCGTAAAGGTCTGGCGGATGCCTCGCGCACAGCAGTAGGCTCGCAGAAGGCCAGAGGAGAACTCTCCGCCTCGGTCAGAGTGCAGACGCAGAACAGGAAAGTCCGAGCCGAAGCTCCTCCTGAGCTGGAGACGAGCTGCGCGGATCCAGTCGATCAACACCTCAGTGACATCACCCTTGCTGCGCAAGGGGAAGACTGTGGTGTAACGCGAGTAGTCGTCAACCACCAGCAGGAAGTAGCGCTCGTGACCCTGTCCACTGACGCGGGCCAGGCCCCACACGTCCATGTGAAGCGTCTGCAGCGGGGCCTCTGTCAGGGGAAACTGAGAGGAGTGAGGGGCAGCCCGGAGCCGCCCCTCGACACAGGGGACACAGGAAGGACCAGGCCCTTGAGGAAGGGGAGGGAGGGACCGGGGAAGACCAGAGACAAGGACACGGGAAGCCATGCCTCGGAGACGAGGCAGGGAGGGGTGACCAAGACGGTGGTGCCACAGGAGAGTCTCGTGAGACAGGAGGCGACACGTGCAGGGGGCAGACTCAGGACCAGACCTGGACGCTGCAGAAAACACCTGACCCGACGCAGCTACCTGGCCAGACGCAGGGACAGGAGGAGACCCAGTGGTCAGGGTGTAGAGGCTCGACCCCGGCCGACGCGTAAACGTGGCCAGGTGCCGGCCTGTGCGCGCGTCCGAGCAGTGGGTCACCCGCTGACTCGCAGGAGTAAACTGGTGAACCCCCGCATCCTGCAGGTCAGCACCACTCACCAAGTTCGTAGAGAACGAGGGGAGGTAAAGACCAGACAAGGTGCCAGAGGGGGCAGCCGGATGCGGGAGGACAGTGGAGAAGTGAGAGAGGACAGGACCCCCAGAGGGGTCTGCCAAGGAGACTGCCACCGGCCGACCAAGCGGCGTGAGTGTGGTGCAGTCTCGAAAGAAGGAGCGAGAAGCCCCTGAGTCAAGTGTGAAGGTGAGGGAGGCCGAAGCCGACGTGGTACCTGAGAGCAGCAGCCTCACTAGCACCTAGAGCAGCAGTACCAATGCCCGGGTCGGGCGGGAAACACCGGTAACAGTCACCCTCATCACTAATAGTCACAGCATACATGGCAGCAAGGATAGCATCAAAGTCAAGATCATAGATAGCGACACCTGCCCTAGACAGCTCTCCCCAGCGGGGGATCTCACTAGCCTCCGGGAACTGCTGACGCTAAGCGTCCGTCAGGCGGCCAAAGCAGCGCTGGGTGGGGTGGGCACCCCCACACTGCTCACCCGCGCGGTTGCCGGAGCGAAGGACGTAGGTGCACGGACCAAAACCCCCACCACGCTGACGCTGCGCGTACCACTCATGGAGCTGCTGAGGGGGGGGAATGTCACGAGAACGTTGCTGCTGCTGCTGCTGCTGGCGCTGACCACCACAAGAGTTGCTCCGCTGCGAAGCGCCACCCCGACCACCTCCACCTCCTCCACCACCGCCTCCTCCACCTCCGCCACCACCGCCGCCTCCGCTACCACCGCTACCGCCTCCGCCGCCTGCGCCTCCACTGCTGCCACCGACACCTCCACCCCCGCCACCACTCCCACCGCCACCCCCACTCCCTCCGCCGCCTCCACCGCCACCTCCACCACCCCCGCTAGCTCCACCCGCGCCCTTGCCCCCCTTGCCCTTGCCAGAGCGGCGTCTCCCGCTAGGGGCAGACGCCGCACCGACCGACTCAAGACCAACGAGGTCGGCCGCAGCAGCAGAGGCGACAGAGGGCAAGAGGGGGGAAGGGGAACACCCCTCAAAGATGGGGGTGCGAGGGTCACCACGAGAGGCTCCTACAGCGACTATGCTCTTCTCCGCTGCTAGGAGGGCCTTCTCTAGGAGGTCAACAGTGAGAGTGGTGGGACAGACTGAGAGGAAGTGGTCCCTGACTACACGAAGAGAGTCAGGGAGCCGGGTGACTATGTAATAGAGAGTGATGTACATGGGGGGGGGGGGTTCTTGGCGCAGAACTCAGCAGGAAGCGCAGCACAGTAGCGAGTGTCACTAGTGCGGAGGTGCGTAATGAGGTCAGCGACTGTGGGAAAGGCAGCAAGGTCAGGGAAGAGGTACGGTAGCATGAGGCGGCTCAGTGCAGCAGTGGCAGGGGAGGAGTAGCGCGCAACTACAGCGTCGTACAAGGTCTGAGCACTCTTGTACTGACTAAAGTGCGCGCGCTGAGTGGTAGGCAGGTGGCGACGCACAGCAAGACGTGCAGCAGCATCGCGCGTGGCCCACTGGGAGCGAACAGTGGCGTCAGCGTCAGCAGCAGGGGCAGGAGAGGCGCCAGAGGTGAGGTCAAAGAGGGAGAGACCGTCTGCCCTATCGCACTGTAGGAAAAGCTGCAGGTCATCTACCCAGACCTCAAAGTCAATGGCCCGACCCTCAGCGTCAATAGCGAGAACACTGGGGGTAGCCATGACAGCAGTAGACTAGCAGTAGCAACTGTAGGACAGGGGTAGTGCAGTGACAGAAGTGCTGCTCTCACCAGACAGGGCGGTTCGGGCAGCTCAGCAGCATAGCAACACGACAACACGGCGGCTCGGACGGCTCAGCAGCAACTGCGGCTCTGCGACACCAGCGGCTTGGCTCCTCAGCGGCTCAGGCGGCTCGGGCGGCTCGGGCGGCTCGGGCGGCTCAAGCGGCTCGGGCGGGTCGGGCGGCTCGGGCGGGTCGGGCGGCTCGGGCGGCTCGGGCGGCTCGGGCGGCTTGGGCGGCACGGGCGGGTCGGGCGGGTCGGGCGGCTCGGGCGGCTCGGGCGGTGTAGGGCGGCAGGACCGCTGGTAGGGCGGCGGGGCCGGAAGGTAGGTGGCGGGGCCGCAGTGAGAGGAGCGGCGGGGCCGCAGTGAGAGGGGCGGCGGGGCCGTAACGTAGGGCGGCGGGGCCGTAAGGGAGTCGGCGGGGCCGCAGCGAGAGAGGCGGCGGGGCCGCAACGAAGGGCGGCGGGGCCGCAGAGAAGGGCGGCGGGGCCGCAGCGAAGGGTGGCGGGGCCGTAGTGAAGGGCGGCGGGGCCGCCGTGAAGGGCGGCGGGGCCGCAGCGAAGGGCGGCGGGGCCGCAGTGAGAGGCGGCGGGGCCGCAGCAAAGATCGGCGGGGCCGCAGCAAAGGGCGGCGGGGCCGCAGTGAGAGGCGGCGGGGCCGCAGCGAAGACCGGCGGGGCCGCACCGAAGGGCGGCGGGGCCGCAGCGAAGGGTGGCAGGGCCGGGACAAGGCGGTGCCGAGGCCGTAGGGCTAGGGCGACGGGGCCGTAGGGCTAGGCGACGGGGCCGCTAGGGAGATGGGGCCGCTAGGGCGATAGGGCCGCTAGGGCGTTGGGGCCGCTAGGGCGGCTCAACGAAGTGAGAGAGGGGAGCGCGACTCGGGCGGAGCGCGCTCCGGGCAGGAAAAAAAAAAGTTCGATGTGGTGGGCCCTAGGCACAGTTCCCACGAGGGAACCTGCTCGATACCATGAGAAAATTAGAACGAGAATGGAATGACTAAGTGAAAGTTGGGTACAAATACAAACCCTAGAAAGTTGTACCCCATATGTGCTACCCCACTATAGCCTACAATAGCTATGTCATATATATCTGACATAGTGATCACAGCCTAACAGAAGTAAGCATACAGGCAAATATATAGATCACAGTACACGGCAAATTCAAGAGGTAAATAAGTGAGGCCGAGTAGGCACAAGACCCAAAGCAGAACAGAAACGCTGATGATCACCAGTACCTAGGGTCTTGGTGAAGATATCAGCTGTACTGGCGTGTGAGGCCACGCAATAAGGTGAAGCTGACCACGCTGCTGCATCTCTCAAGCGAGGAAGTAACGCAATGCAATGTGCTTCGTTCTGCGCTCCAGTCTCTGCTCCCAACACAAGACAATCACGGTCTTGTTGTCTACGTACATGACCGGAGGAGAACGAGGCCGCTCACCCAAGTCGATAAGCAAGTAGGTCAGCCAGCGTAACTCCTATGCAGTCATGGTCCCCGCGTAAATCTCGGCCTCACAACTGGAGCTGAGAACAGAAGACGAGCGGGTGGACCTCCAAGAGACAGAAACAGTGCCGAGACTGAAAGTGTAACACTGGGACGACCGCTGAGTCGCCTGGTCGTCCGCCCAAGAAGCGTCTGAGTGCCTAGTGAGCACAACTGGACCCTGTCCTCCAAGCACAAGCCCCATGCCTGATGTAGTGCACAATTAACACACTACCCTCTGCGCAGCTGTCCAGTGCTCCTTCCTATGTCTACAGGGCGCGACGAAGCGAGCAAGGATGCTGAAAAGGTACGCAACGTCAGGTCGTGTGCACGTCATCACATACATGAGGCATCCCACGAGCTTTGGATACGGACCACTCTGCTCTATGAAATCGTCCAAATGTGGAGCTGAGAGCGAGTGGCTAGTAGGCAAAGGAGTGCACTATGGGGAGGAGAACTGAAAGCCGAAGCGCTGAAGGACCCGATCCACCATGTGTGACTGAGTAAGGGCGATGGTGCGCCGTGCTCTGTCCTAGGTGATCTGCAAGCCAAGATAGCTACGCAGCTCGCCCAGGTTAGTGCAAGTGTGTCTCTTTTGCAGCTCGGCCTTCACAAGGGCCAGTGCCTCAGTGTCAGTAGTAGCAAAGACCAAGTCATCCACGTACACGAAGATGTAGAACGGCGGCAGAGAAGTGTCGGTGCGTAGAAACAGCGACGGATCAGCAGTCGAAGGAGCAAACCCAAGAGCCGCAAGCGTCGTCTTTAGTGTGTCGTACCACTCGCATGGTGCCTGGCGGAGACTGTAGACTGACCATCGGAGGCTCCACTAAGTACCCTCAGGAAACGACCCAGTGAAGCCAAGTGGGCGGCGCAGCCAGATCTCCTCATGTAGGTTGCCCTACAAGAAAGTTGTGTCGAAGTCAAGAGAGTGGAGCTTGTAGTCACGCTATGCTGCAACGTGGAGTAACACCCCGGAGAGTGGTCATCTTCGGGGTGGGGGAGAATGTCTGGAAGAAGTCGACTCCCTGTCACTGACTGAAGTCTCGTGCAACGTAACGAGCCATGAAGACAGGCGAAGCCCGACGGCCACTTCACCCTGAAAATCCACATGCCATCGACTATGTTTGCCCCAGGTGGGGAAACTGCGTCGACGTAAGTGCCTGTGGACTTCCCGGATGCCATCTCTGCGTCCATGACTGTCTGCCACTAAGAGGAGTAAGGAACCATAATCGCCTCTGCGTAAGAGCGCGGGGTTGAGATGCCTAGTGGATCCGGGTCTCCCACAGCGAGATGGGGTACAGCAGCTGCATGACACTTGAGCTCACTGTGCTTGTCCTCAAGGACGTGAGTACAAAGAGCACACTCACCCTTGACGGACGGAGGACAGTTAGACTCAGACTCAGTAACAAGACTAGCGATGTAGTCGAGAAGACACGCATCAGCAAAATCAACGAACTCAATGACTAAGGCAGACACAGCAGCAGACTCAAAAGCAGGGTCAGCGACAAGTGTGGGTAAAACACGCGTGACAGTAGTAGCAGCACAAACAAGGTCAGACTCAGGGTCAGGAACATCGGGAAGAGAGGACGCTGGGGGAGACGGTAGGGCAATACGATGTGGAACAGAGGAAGGACAAAGTACCATAAAGTGTGTGCCGGGAACAGACGGAGGACGAACACGATGAGCCTGACAAACAGTGCAAACAGGGGAGGCAGGATGTGACGCAGGCTCACGACGCTCTGTCAGAGGGTCTATCAGCTCAGTGTAGGGAGAAGGAGCAGGTTGTGGGGAGTCAGGCGGTAACTGTGGCTGTGGATCGTCAGGCGGAGGATTGAGTAGGGGAGGAGTAAGGCCAGTGGAAGACGGAAGAATGAGAACCTAGGAAGCGCCGAGCCAGGTGGTTGGTGGTAGCGACGACTCTGGCTGAGGCCAGAAGAACGCTCGCCGCTGCACAGGCTGCGTAGCACCCCCACCAGTAGAACCTCTAGGAGCCCCGGCTCGAGTACCTCCAGCACCACCAGCAAGAGTGCCTCCAACTGCAGCATCTCCAGCAACAGCTATCCCAACCCCAGAACCTCTAGTACCAGAACCCCCTGTTAGAGGTCCACTGGTGATCCCCGATTGATCCTCGAGAAGGGTTATAGGCTCGTTGTTCCGGGGGGTTATGGGCGCACTGACCCGCTACTCAATAAGCCCTTTTATCCCAATGGTCTAGTGGTTGGGATTCTGACATGATATCAGAGCGAAGGTCTCGGGTTCGAATCCCAGTGTGTGCACTTCGGGCATCCCAGTGCGGGGGGGTGCTAGAATTCCACTGGTGATCCCCGATTGATCCTAGAGAAGAGTTACAGGCTCGTTGTCGTGAGGGGTTATGGGCGCACTAACCAGCTACTTAATAAGCCATTTTATCCGAATGGTCTAGTGGTTGGGATTCTGACACCCCCAGCACCTCCAGCTCCTGTATCTCCAGGTCGTGTGCCTCTGGCTCCACTACCTCCAGCACCAGCAGCCTCAACACCTCTTGCTCCAGTACATCCAGCGCCTCCAGCTCCAGAGTTAGCGATTGCCAGCTCAGTACCTCCAGTGGCAGCACCCCTACCCTCAGCACCCCCACCCTCAGCACCCCCAAAACCAACACATGCGGAATCAGCACGCCTTCCGACTACCCACTCACGCAGCTGCTGCGGCGAGAGAGTTTCTTGCGGATGCGACGGCTGCGGCTGTCCACCCTCACGCTCAGCACCCCCAGAGTTAGCACTCCCAGGCTCAGTACCCCGAGAACCAGCACCTCCAGTGTCAGCACGGCGTCCGACTACCCACTCACGCAGCTGCTGTGGCGAGAGAGTCTCCCGCGGACGCGACGGCAGCTGTTGCCCACCTCCAGGTGCAGCACCCCAATGCTAAGCACCCCTAGAACCAGAACCACCAGCGTCAGGAACCTCAGAGCCCACACCTCCAGCCCCACCACCTCCAGTAGCACCGAAGTCCACGGCGACAGACAGTAGAGGCGGCGAAGACGATCGAGGCGGAAAACCAGGAGGGGTCTCCAAGCGTGGGCAGCGGCGAGAGGCCGAAGTGTCGTTAGCAGCATGGTCACCCGCGTCAGTCGGGCCAGAGGAGACCTCCAAATGCTCAACCAAGGGGGATGGTGTGACCTGAGAAACACCTGAGGGCGCAGGATGCGAGGGGGGGTGGGGGTCTACCGAGGGGTAACCTAGAACCAGGAAGAGGGGCGGCGGGGGGACAGGAGAAGGCACGTGGGGGAGGAGACGGTAGTAGCAAACCGACTCGTCAAAGGTGACGTCATGGGAAGGTAGGACACGACGCGTGGCTGGGTGGTAAAATTGCCAGCCAGATGCGTCGGCGGGAAAACCAAGGAAGAAGCAGCGAACGGTGCGAGAAGAGAGCATGTGCGCGGTAGTATCGCGTACAATGGCTATCGAACCCTAGACCCAAAACACCGACGCATCGCCAACCTCCCCCGTCCAACGCAAGGTAGGTGAGGTCTTTCGCACGGAGACACGGGGCCAAAGGTTGAGCTGATGCGCAGCGTATCGGACCGCAAACGACCACAGAAAATGGGGAGCAGTCGCATGGATCATGGAGGTGCGAGCAACCTCCATGATCAAGCCAATGCGGTGCTTAGCAATCCCATTCTGTTGCGGAGAAGCCTGAAGCATGAACGACTAGGTGATGCCCTTCTCACGACAAAAGTCCTCAAGGAGACCAAAGGAAAACTCATCTCAATGGTCAAAGTGCAGACGGAGAACCGGGAGGTCCTGGTGGAACCGTGCGCTCAGCTGGTGACGAACAGTCCGGATCCAAGGGATAAATACGCTACGAACGCCGCCCTTACTCCGCAAGGGAAACACCATGGTGTAGCGCGTGTAGTCGTCGAGGACCAGTAGGAAGTAGCGCTCTTGGCCCATCCTAGGGACGGGGGCAAGGCCCCACATGTCCATGTGCAGGGTCTACAGAGGAGCCTCTGACGGAGGGAACGAGGAGGAGTGAGGAGCGGCGCGCTGCCGCCCCTCGACGCAGGGAGTGCACGGCGGCGCGAGCGACGGAGGGAGTGGGGGCAAGGACCTCGGAAGGCCCGAGACAAGGAGACGCACGCAGACGCTGAAGGGAGGGGTGACCAAGACGGTGGTGCCAGAGGAGGGACGGGTGCATGAGTGGCCGACACGAGCACGACGCAGCTACCTGACCGGACCCAGCAAAGTGTGTAGATTCAAAGTGCAGTGAGTACAGGCCAGACCTAGGCCTCCGAGTAAACGTGGCGAGGTGGTCGCCTGTCACTTGTTTGACGAGAAGTGAGAATGAATGAACTATGAAAGAGTTGGGTACAAGTACTAACCCTAATTGGGTTGTACCCCATATGGGCTACCCCACTATAGCCTACACAAATGTATAAGCTATAATGCTCTGACACACCCCCATAGGCAAAGTGGGGGAGAACAAGCGGTCACAAGACCAGTCAAGCAAAGCAAAGCAAGCTCAGGGTGGATCACAAAGTCACCACACAGTCCGAGCACAAGAGTAGGGCCACAAGGCCAGTGCACATGCATGAACATATATATAAAGGTAACACAAGCAAGAGCAGGTATAGAAAGAATACAGTACAAACAAGATCAAGAAGTGAGCAAGTGAGGCCAGGTAGGCACAAGACCTAGCACAGTACAGAAACGCTGATGATCACAAGGCGGAAGAGCCTTGGTGAAGATATCAGCAGTGTTGGCCTCAGAGGCCACGTAAGCAAGGCGCAGCTGACCACGTTGCTGCAGCTCACGAGACAGGAAATAGCGGAGAGCAATGTGCTTCGTTCTGTGCTCCAGTCTGTGCTCCCGACACAAGGCCAGCATGGCCTTCTTGTCTACGTACAGAACTGGAGGAGAACGAGGCGACTCTCCTAGGTCAGTCAGCAGGTAGGTGAGCCAGCGTAGCTCCTGTGCAGCCATGGCCCCCGCGTAGATCTAGGCCTCACAGCTGGAGCTGAGAATAAAAGACGAGCGGGTAGACCGCCACGAAACAGAGTCGGAGCCAAGGCTGAAGGTGTAACCCTGTGACGACCGCTGCGTAGCCTGGTCGTCAGCCCAAGAAGCGTCAGCGTGACCTGTGAGGACTACTCGACGTCGCCCTCCAAGCACTAGCCCCATGCCCGACGTACTGCACACGTAGCGAAACACCCTCTTCGCTTCAGCCATGTGCTCTTGTCTGTGTCTCCCAGGAGCAACATAGCGTGCCAAGATGCTAAGAGGGTATGCAAGGTCAGGTCGTGTGCAGGTCATCAGGTACATGAGGCAGCCAACAAGCTCTGGGTACGGGCCACTCGACTCTACGGACTCATCCAAAGGCAGAGCTGAGAGCGAGTGACGAGTAGACAGAGGAGTGGCCTGAGGCGAGGAGTACGTGAAGCCGAAGCGCTGAAGGACCTGCTGCACCATGTGTGACTGAGTCAGGGTAATGGTGCGCTGTGCTCTGTCCCGGGTGATCTGCAAGCCAAGGTAGCTGCGCAGTTCACCCAGGTCTGTGCACGTGTGCCTCTTCTGCAGCTCGGACTTCACGTGGGCGAGTCCAGTAGTGTCAGCAGTGGCAAAGACCAAGTCGTCGACGTACACGAGGATGTAGAACGGCGGCAAGGAGGTGTCGGTGCGTAGAAACAGCGACGGGTCGGCTGTAGAAGGAGCAAACCCAAGAGCCGCAAGTGTAGTCCTCAGTCTGTCGTGCCACTCACGGGGCGCCTGACGGAGACCGTAGACTGGCCGGCGGAGGCTCCACTGGGTACCACGAGGAAACGACCTAGTGAAGCCAGGAGGGTGGCGCAGCCAGATCTCCTCGTGCAGGCTGCCCTGCAGGAAAGCTGTGCTGAAGTCAAGAGAGTGAAGCTCGTAGTCGCGCTGGGCGGCTATGTGCAGCAGCACCCAAAGAGTGGTCATCTTCGGGGTGGGAGAGAAGGTCTGAAAGTAGTCAACTCCCTGCCGCTGACTGAAGCCTCCAGCCACGTAACGCACCTTGAAGACAGGCGGAGAGCCAGACGGCCGCTTCACCCTGAAGATCCACATCCCACTGACGGTGTTCGCCCCAGGTGGGGGAACCTCGTCGACGTAGGTGCCCGTGGACTTCCACGAAGCTATCTCTGCGTCCATGGCCGACTGCCACTGAGAGGAGTAGGGACCCTCGATCGCCTCAGCATATGATCGAGGAGTCGGGATGTCTGGTGCATCCGGGTCTCTCTCAGGGGCAATCAGCGTGGACACCAGATGGGGCAAAGGAGCCGCAAAGCACTGGAACTTCTCCTGCCTGTCCTCAAGGACGTCCGTGCTAAGAGCACACTCACCCCCGACGGACGAAGGACAGACAGACTCAGACGCAGCAACAAGAGTGGCAGCGTAACCTAGACGGCAGCGAGCAGCGAAGTCGACAAGCTCAGCAACTAGAGCAGACGCAGCAGTGGACTCAAAGGTAGGGTCAGTGACAACAGTAGCAAGAAGGCGCGTGACCAAAGGACTAGCAGCACGAAGGGAGTCGGACTCCGGGTCAGGGAGAAAAGGAAGAGAGGACTCAGGAGGAGACGGCAAAGGGACACGCAGAGGAGCAGTGGACGGACGCAGTGCCATCTGGTGTGTGCCGGGGACCGCAGGAGGACGCGGACGCGCAGTACGACCACTAGTGCGAGCAGCACGAACAGGCGACGCAGGACGAGACGCAGGCTCACGACGCTCAGCAAGACCTCCAGTAGGACCAGTGTAGGGAGAAGGAGCACGTAGCGGGGAGGCGGGCTGTAACTGGGACTGCGACTGGACAGGCTGCGGCCACTCTAAGGGAGGAGCAGGACCAGTAGAGGGAGGGAGACCAAGAACCGGCTCCAGGAGGGGAACGAAGTAGGGCCTCAGCCGCACAGCGCCTCCAGAACCAGCAAAGACGGCACGAGGACCCCTAGTGGCAGCACCAGCGCCAGCAGAACCCCCAGCTCCAACAGCGGCAACTCCAGGACCCTCAGAAGCACCAGCGCCAGCAGCAACGCCAGCGCCAACACCCCCAGTAGCTCCATCTCCTGTAGAACCGGCAGCACCAGCTGCCTCAGCAGCACCCCCAGACGCACCAGCACCAGTAGAAACACCAGCGCCAATACCCTCAGCAGCTCCACCTCCAGCAGCACCAGCACCAACACCAGCTCCAGCAGGACCAACTCTAGTAGCTCCAGCAGCACCCCCAAACTCAGCAGCACGTCTCCAAAGGCGGGCAAACCACTCGCGCAGCTCCTAGGGAGAGAGCGGCTCCCGCCTCGACGAAGCACCGCCGGCGGCCACACGAGCAGACCCAGCACCCCCAGGCTCAGCACCCCCAGGCTCAGCACCCCCAGTCTCAGCACCCCCAGACTCAGCACCCCCAGTCTCAGCACCCCAAGTCTCAGCACCCCCAGTCTCAGCACCCCCAGACCCGGCACCCGCAGACCCGGCACCTGCAGGCTCAGCACCTCTAGCAGCACTAGAGTCAACAGCTACCTAAAAAGGCTCGACTGTGTCTACCTTGGACACACCAGAAGGGGCAGGACCCTGAGGAGGGAGGGGGTCTACCTGGGTAGCACCTGGCGCAAGGAAGAGCGGCGGCGGGGGGAGGGGCGCAGTGCGGTAGGGGAAGATACGGTAGTAAGGCACCGACTCGTCAAAGGTGACGTCCTGGGAGGACAAAACACGGCACAAGGTGGGGTGGTAAAACCGCCAGCCAGGCGCGTCGGGGGGGAAGCCAAGGAAGACGCAGGGAACTGCACGGGGGGACAACTTGTCCGCAGACGAGTCACGGACAAACGCCCTAGATCCCCAGACCCGAAACGCAGACGCATCGCCAACCTTCCTGGTCCACCGCAAGGCAGGGGAGGTCTCTAGCAAGGAGACCCGGGGCTGAAGGTTGAGCTGATGCGCGGCGTACTGAACCGCAAACGGCCACAGAAAATGGGGGGCAGCCGCATGCATCATGGACGTACGAGCGACGTCCATGACCATGCCAATGCGGCGCTCAGCAATCCCATTTTGCTGTGGAGAGGCCGGAAGCGTGAAGGTCTGGCGGATGCCCTGTGCACGACAGAAGGCTCCCAGACGGGCGGAGGAAAACTCCCCGCCTCAGTCTGAGTGCAGACGCAGAACATGAAAGTCGGAGCCGAAACTCTCTCTGAGCTGGAGACAAGTTGCGCGGATCCAGTCGATCAACACCTCAGTGACATCACCCTTGCTGCGCAAGGGGAAGACTGTGGTGTAGCGCGAGTAGTCGTCAACGACCAGCAGAAAGAACCGCTCTCGTCCCTGCCCACTGACGCGGGCTGGGCCCCACACGTCCATGTGGAGAGTCTGCAATGGAGCCTCTGTCGGAGGAAACTCGGAGGAGTGAGGGGCGGCGCGCTGTCGCCCCTCGACGCAGGGGACGCAGGTAGGGCCAGGCCCCGGAGGAAGGGGAGGGAGAGACCGAGGAAGACCAGAGACAAGGACACGCGAGGCCATGCCTCTGAGACGAGGCAGGGAAGGGTGACCAAGGCGGTGGTCCCAAAGGAGAGTCTGGTGGGACAGCAGACGACATGAGCAGGGGGCAGACTTAGGACCAGACCTGGACGCCGCAGCAAACACCTGACTCGACGCAGCTACCTGGGCAGGCGCAGCAGTAGGAGGAGACGCAGTAGTAAGGGTGTACAGGCTCGACCCTGGCCGACGACTGAACGTGGCCAAGTGTCGACCTGTCCGAGCACACGTGCAGTGGGTCACTCGCTGACTCGCAGGAGTGAACTGGTCAACCCCTCGATCCTGTAGGTCTGCTCCACTCACCAGGTTCGTAGAGAACGAGGGGAGGTACAGACCAGACAGGGTGCCAGAGGGGGCTGCAGGGCACGGAAGAACAGTGGAGAAGCTAGCAAGGACAGGACCCCTAGAGGGGTCTGCCAGGGAGATTGCAACCGGCCGACTAAGCGGCGTAAGAGTGGTGCGGTCTCGAAAGAAGGAGCAGGACGCACCCGAGTCCAGGGTGAAGGTGTGGAGGGCCTGAGCCGAAGCAGTACCTGAGAGAGCAGAATCACCAGCACCTGGGGCAGCAGACGCACTAGCACCAAGAGCAGCAGTCTCACCAGCACCTAGCGCAGCAGCCTCAATGCCCGGGTCATGCGGTACACACAGGTAACAGGCACCCTCAACACTATCAGCAACAGCATACATGGCAGCAAGAATAGCATCAAAGTCAAGATCAAAGATAGCAACCCCAGCCTTAGCCAGATCTCCCCAGCGAGGGATCTCTGAAGCCTCAGGGAACTGGTGACGCAACGCGTCCGTCAGGCGACCAAAGCAGCGCTGGGTGGAGTGCGGACCTCCGCACTGCTCACCAGTGCGGTCGCCGGTACGGAGAACGTAGGAGCAGGGACCAAAACCCCCACCTCGCTGGCGTGCAGTGTACCACTCACGAAGCTGCTGAGGGGATATGGTCACACCGCTCCGCTGCTGCTGCTGGCGCTTACCACCACCGGAGCCACTCCTCGGTGCAGAGTCGCGACTCTCACCACCACCACCGCCGCCGCCGCCACCGCCACCTCCGCCGCCTCCGCCGCCTCCTCCACCTCCGCCTCCTCCACTACCTCCGCCGCCTCCGCTCCCTCCGCCACCTCCACCGCCTCCGCCGCCTCCACTGCTGCCGCCGCCACCACCACCCCCGGCACCACTCCCACCACCACCCCCACTCCCTCCAACGCCTCCACCACCACCTCCACCGCCCCCTCCACCCCCTCCAGAGCCCTTGCCCCCCTTGCCCTTGCCGGTGCGGCGTCTCCCACTCGGGGCAGACGCAGCGCCGTTCGACTCGAAACCAACGAGGTCGGCCGCAGCAGCAGAGGCGACAGAGGGCAAGAGGGGGGAGGGAGAACACCCCTCAAAGACGGGGGTGCGAGGGTCACCACGAGAGGCTCCTACAGCGACTATGCTCTTTTCTATCGCTAGGAGGGCCTTCTCGAGGAGGTCAACGGTGAGAGTGGTCGTACAAGGTCTGAGCACTCTTGTACTGGCTAAAGTGCGCACGCTCAGTGGTCGGTAAGTGGCGGCGAACAGCAAGGCGAGCAGCAGCATCACGTGTGGCCCACTGTGAGCGAACAGTGGCGTTAGCATCAGCAGCAGGGGCAGGGGAGGCACCAGAAGTGAGGTCAAACAGGGAGAGGTCGTCTGCCCTATCGCACTGCAGAAAAAGCTGCAGATCATCTACCTAGACCTCAAAGTCCACTGCCCGACCCTCAGCGTCAAAAGTGAGAACGCTAGGGGAAGCCATAACAGCAGACGGCAGGCAAGGAGCGCAGTGACTGAGCTCTTACCAAGCAGGTGGGGCGATCGGGCTGCTCGGTGGCTCGGCTGCAGGGCGGCTCGGCTTCCGGGCGGCTCGGTTGCACGGGCGGCTCGGCTGCTGGGCGGCTCGGCTGCTGGGCGGCTCGGCTGCGGGGCGGCTCGGCTGCTGGGCGGCTCGGCTGCTGGGCGGCTCGGCTGCCTGGCGGTTCGGCTGCCTGGCGGCTCGGTGGCTGGGACGGGGCCGTAGCAGGGGCCTTAGTGGGGCCGCAGTGGGGTCGAAGTGGGGCCGACGGGGCCTTAGTGTGGCCGCAGTGGGGCCGAAGTGGGGCCGACGGGGCCTTAGAGGGGGCCGCAGTGGGGCCGAAGTGGGGTCGACGGGGCCTGAGCGGGGCCGTAGCGGGGCCGACGGGGCCGTAGCGGGGCCGAAGTGGCCTTAGCTGGGGCCGTAGCGGGGCCGACAGGGCCATGGCGGGGCTGTAGCGGGGCCGTAACGGGGCCGAAGTGGGGGCCGACGGGGCCTAAGTGGGGCCGCAACGGGGCCGACGGGGCCGTAGCGAGGCCGCAACGGGGCCGAAGTAGGGGCCGACGGGGCCTAAGCGGGGCCGCAGCGGGGCCGACTGGGCCTAAGCTGGGCCGACGGCGGGCTAAGCGGGGCCGACGGGGCCGTAGCGGGGCTGTAGCGGGGCCGCAACGGGGCCGAAGTGGGGCCGACGGGGCCTAAGCGGGGCCGGAACGGGGCCGACGGGGCCTAATTGGGGCCAATCGGGGCCGTAGCGGGGCCTAAGCGGGGCTATAGCGGGGCCGACGGGGCCTAAGCGGGGCCGACGGTGGGCTAAGCGGGGCCGACGGGGCCGTAGCGGGGCTGTAGTGGGGCCGCAACGGGGCCTAAGCGGGGCCGCAACGGGGACGACGGGGCCTAAGCGGGGCCAATCGGGGCCGTAGCGGGGCCTAAGCGGGGCTATAGCGGGGCCGACGGGGCCTAGGCGGGGCCGACGGTGTGCTAAGCGGGACCGACGGGGCCGAAGGGAGGGGCCGACGGGGCCTAAGCGGGGCCGCAACGAGGCCGTAGCGAGGCCTAAGCGGGGCCGATGGGGCCTAAGCAGGGCGGCTCGAGAGGCAGTAAGGGCGGCCAAAAGGCGTCTCGGGGCACTACTCAGGTTAGGAGGTAAGCGCGCTCCGGGCAGAGGAGAAAAAGTACGTGGTGGGCCCTAGGCAGTATTCCCACACGGGAACCTGCTCGATACCATGACGAGAAGTGAGAATGAATGAACTATGAAAGAGTCGGGTACAAGTACTAACCCTAATTGGGTTGTACCCCATATGGGCTACCCCACTATAGCCTACACGAATGTCTAAGCTATAATGCTCTGACATTGTTATGTGATGCTATCATCTGCATTCACGTCTGTCTGCCTCCCATCATATGTTTGTACGTTGCATGCGTGGTGTGAGCGTGTGCAAGAATTTCTGTTTTCTGTGGTTTGGATTCTCTGAGTGTGTGTGAATGTTATTTGATTTGAGCAGATATCTGAAGTGACTCCTCTGCTCAAGAGCTTTCCAACGAACCAAGTATCACTTCAATCAGAGCACGAACAAGAAAGTTACGAACATTTGAATTTCGTATGCTTTTTATATTTGGTTGTGGTGACTATGAGAAGTTGTGGGGTTGACTCCATAAGGGGTACAGACTTTTGGGGGTTGGGAAATTCTTCCCCATCGCTGTAGATGCTACCAATTGGTTGGGAGAAGCCAAACCAGGTTGGCAAGTGTGGCCAACTTGGGTGAGGTGGATTGTGGAGGTTGGGAAAGTGACAAAGGTCAAAGTTGGGGTTGCCTAGAGAGAGGGGAATTGTGTGGCATGGGGTTTCCTTGGTTTGGGACTTGGGACCTTCCCTCTCGTCCTCCTCTTCTCCTCCCAATTGGTTAATTGCTACACTAACTTCCTTGTGTGGTAATTGTGGAAATTGTGAGACTCTTGTGATTGAGTTAAGCTCTTATGGCAGCATACCCCCCTGTGCGCCAAAATTGATAACTCGAGAAATACTTCATGTTTTTGTACAATTCAACTTGTTAATTCTAGCCACGGACTAGGGCTACATTATATCCGAAATTGGTGAAGTTTTAATGCTGCGTTTTTTATTGACGACGATTCTTGTGAGCGCGACGATTCTGTCCAGAAATTGAGACCAACGATTTTGAGAAATTTAGACACATAATCTTCATAGACTCCGTCCTTAGTCTATAACATCACTGAGTCCGTACAGATCGCCACAAGCTCGCCCCCAGGAGTGGTGGTCGTGACCAACCGATCCTGCAGGACAGCATGACTCCCAAGTTCGTAGTGACCAACCGTACCTCGTGCAATAACTAGGCCAGAGGAGGGGTCGGCCAGAGTGACAGGGACGCATGTGGTGAGTGGTGTGACTACGGTGCGGTCGCGGAAGAAGCAGCGAGACGCTCCTGAGTCTAGCGTGAAGGTGAGCAAAGCCTCCAACGGAGTTGCACCTGTGCTAGCAGACTCACAAGCACCTAGACTAACAGCCTCTACATCACCAGAGCTAGGCACACTCGAGTAATAGTCACTCTCAACACTATTAGCAGCCGCAACATACATAGCAAGCATGCCAGCAAGGATCTGGTCCCAATCAAGAGCAAATACATCAATGTTCTTTTTTAGCAATCCTAACCAGTTAGGCGTCTCGGTCTTCTCACCAAACTTGCGAAAAGCATTTTCGAGCCTCGACATGGCCTGCCTTGCTGTAGACGTCTCCTGCGCGGGGCCCCGTGCGTCAGACGTAGGTACAACGACCTCCTCCTCCGGGGCCACCTCGCTGGACCACCGAGTCACGTAGCTGCTACGGCGAGAGGGTATCCTGCCGACGCGACTGCTGCTGCTGTCCACCCCCAGAACCTCCGCCTACACTAGCTGTGCGCCCAGACGAGACTCCCTGGCCTCCACCCCCGCTGGCTCTGCCATGACTGCCATTCGAGCCTTTTAGAGACTAATGACGAGGTGTACGAAAATTAAGGGCCTAAATAACTCAAAATGGTTTGGCCTAGTTTCTGGACAGAAATATCGAGTTCACAAAAAACGCCGTCGACAAAAATTGCACTGTCAAAACTTCATCAAATTCAGATATATTGTAGCCCTAGTCTGTGGCTACAATTCCAAAGTTAAATCGTACAAAACGATGAAGTATTTCTTTAGTTATCAATTTCGGCACACTAGGGGGTAAGCTGCCATAGAATCTTAACTCAATCACAATTGTCTCACCATTTCACACAAGAAAGTTGGAGTAGCTAGAAACCAGGTAGGAGGAGATGAAGAGGACGAGAGGGAAGGTCCCACGGGAGTCCCCAACCAAGGAAACCCCATGCCACACAATTCCTCTCTCTCTAGGCAACCCCAACTTTGACCTTTGTCACTTTCCCAACCTCCACAATCCACCTTACCCAAGTTGGCCACACTTGCTAACCTGATTTGGCTTCTCCCAACCAATTGGCAGCATCTACAGTGATGGGGACGAATTTCCCAACCCCCAAAATTCTGTACCCCTTATGGAGTCAACCCCACAACTTCCCATAGTCATCACAACCAAATATCAAAAGCATATGAACTTCAAATGTTCGTAACTTTCTTGTTCGTGCTCCGATTGAAGCGATACTTGGTTCGTTGTTGAGTAGAGGAGTCACTTCAGGTATCTGCTAAAACCAAATAACATTCACACACACTCAGACAAACCAAACCACACGAATCACAAGTTCTTGCACGCGCTCACACCACGCATGCAACGTACAAACGTGTGATGGGAGGCTGACAGACGTGAATGCAAGTGATAGCATCACATAACAGAGCCGCCTCCGCCACCCGAAGTGCCGCCACCCGCCCCCGCCACTCCCGCAACCCCCGCCACCCCCACCACCCCGGCCACCACCACCTCCACCACCTCCACTACCGCCACCTCCACCGCCCCTGCCACTGCCATCCCCGCCGCCACCTCCACGACCTTTGCCCTTCTGACGCACACCTTTGTTGCGCCTCCCGCTAAGAGCGGGCGCCACACCGGCTACCTAAGCACCGAGGAATTCAACGGCAGCAGCAGAGGTGACAGAGGGTGCAAGTAGGGAAGGAGCACACCCCTCAAAGAAGGAGGTGCGAGGAGTACCACGGGAGGCAGCTACAGCGTAGGCACTGGTGTCACCCTCCAAGAGTCGTGACTCAAACGAGGCTAGGGTGAGCTCGGTAGGGTCAAGAGAAAGGAAGTGGTCTCGGATGGGGCGAAGGGAGTCATGGAGACGGGTCACTAGGAAGTAGAGCTTGAGGGGAGGGTTCTTAGCCAGAAACTCTGGCTTGAGAGCAGCATGGTAGCAAAGGTCACTGGTGCGCAGGTGGGTCATGAGGTCAGCGATAGTGGTGAAGTCTAACAGCTCTGGAAAGGCAGTAGCAGGCGGCCTACAGAGGCAGAGGAGGGAGAGGAATAACGCTTTATTACAGGGTCATAAAGATCCTTAGCAGTTTTCAGCTGGCAAAATTGGGTGCGCTGGTCGGGCGGGAGGTGGCTGCGAACTGCAAGCGCGGCAGTGGCGTTGCGTGCTAACCACAAAGTACTAGCTATGCGGTCATCTTTGTACTTCTGCTGTGCTTCTGTCGACGCAGTAAGAGCAGGCTTGGTCAGAGTGGGAGGGGCTCGGAGGGAGCCTGAGGTGTGCTCAAAGAGAGAGACGTCGTTGCGGGTAACGCTAAGCAGGTACAAGCGAAGCCCCTCAAGCCACGAATCGTAATCGACAGGGCTACCCTCGGCATCAAACTCAAGGACATTACGAGTCGCCATTGTGAGCAGTGCAGCCTAGTGCTAGGAATTAAAGATAGTGCTGGGCCCGAGCGGCGCGGATAGGCAGAGCGACACTGCGGGGCAGCTCGGTGGGGCGCAACGGCTCAGGGCAGCAGGGACGAAGCAGCATAGGCAGTGCAGGAGGCAGTGCAAGCGGCCAGGCTGCAGTGCAGGCAGCGGTAGATAAGGCAGCGGGCTGCGGGCTACGAGGGAGCGTAGCAACATAGGGCAGCGGCAGGATGGCAGCACGCAGAACGGTACGCTGCATGGCGGGCTGCAGCACTAAGCAGTGTAGGCAGAAGTGCGAGCGGCAGTGCAGTAGCGCACGCAAGGCAACGTGCAATAGGGCAGAGCGCGAGTGCAGCAGGGCAGCGCGGAAGCGCAGCAGGGCAGCACATAGGCGCGGCTCGGCGGGCAGCAGTGCGCAGAAGCAGCGACGCAGTGGACTGAGGCGTCCACGGCGCGCGGGGCAAAGATGGCGCGCGCGTGGGGCAACGGTGGCGCACGACGCGCGACGCGCGGGGCAGCTATGGCACGCAACGCGCAGGGTAGGGGATCGTGCGACGGGCAACAATGACGCGCGCTTTGAGGGCACGCGGCGGGCAGGAGAAAACGGCGCGCTAGAGGTGCGCACCACGGGCAGTGGAAGAGGCAGCGGTAAGGGCAGGCATGAAAAAAAAAAAAAAAAAAAAAAAAAAATCGGTCCCCAAACGGGCGGTCCTAAGGATCAAACGTGCTCTATACCATGTTGAGAAGATAGAGACTATGGTGGTTGACTAAGGTGGTTGAGATTTCAAGTAGAAACCCTAAAGGTTTATACTCTCTAATGAGTACCCCTATGTAGCCTATAGATATGTATAATGTTTGACACCTTGGGACATGGTACCAAATGTAACATGGTTCGTGTTGGGATGGGAGTGGCGAGAGAAGCAGTTGGGCTAGGGGGAGGGGCCAGAGAGTAGCAGGTGGGCTGGGTAGAGGGGCCAGAGAGTAGCAAGTGGGCTGTGGGGAGGGGTGAGAGGGGCACGTGGGCAGAGGAGAGGGAAGAAACGGTGTGGGTTGCAGGACAGCCAAGAGGAAGTGGTGGGTTGGGGGTGTCAGAAGATTTACTTAGCAGAATGGATGACACAAGGGCATACATAGTTCATATCTACAATGTTGTACTCACTATATAGTACCTCATAGTTTGACAAACCCCTTAGGCTAGGTAAGAGACGGTCACTAAACAAGAACTGGCAAACTCGGGCGGCATTATAGTCCAAACATTTGAGAAAAAGATGCCACAAGGCAAGTCAATTTGTTCAAATAAAATAAATATGCAGATGTTTGACTTGCCTACAAAATGAAATGAAGATATTTGACTTGCCTACAAAATGAAATGAACTAACTACGCTCCCGCCGCCCGATTCCCCTTTCGCGCCGCCCACTTCCCCTTTCGCGCTGCCAAGTTCCAGATCCCGCCACCCGACTCCCGTTCCCGCCGCCCGCTTCCCCTTTCTCGCCGCCTGATGCACCTTCCCGCCGCCCGATTCCCATTTCCCGTCGCCAGACATGCCTTCCTGCCTCCCTATTCCCTTTTCCGTCGCCCGAATATCTGTCCCTCCCTTCTCTCCCTTCCCTCCCTTCTCTCCCTTCCCTCCCTTATCTCCCTTCCCTCCCTTCTCTCCCTTCCCTCCCTTCTCTCCCTTCCCACCCTTCCCTCCCCCGACTCCTTTCCCTCCAATCCCTCCCTTCTCTCCCTTCCCTCCCTTCTCTCCCTTCCCTCCCTTCTCTCCCTTCCCTCCCTTCTCTCCCTTCCCTCCCTTATCTCCCTTCCCTCCCTTCTCTCCCTTCCCTCCCTTCTCTCCCTTCCCACCCTTCCCTCCCCCGACTCCTTTCCCTCCAATCCCTCTATCTTCTCCCTTCCCTCCCTTCTCTCCCTTCCCTCCCTTCTCTCCCTTCCCTCCCTTCTCTCCCTTCCCTCTCTTCTCTCCCTTCCCTCCTTTCCCTTCTATCCCTCCCTTCTCTCCCGTCTCTCCTTTCCCGCCCTTTCCCCCTTCCCTCCTTCCCTCCTTTCCCTCCCTTCTCTCCCTTCCCTCCCTTCCCTCCACTCCCTCCTTTCCCTCCAATCCCTCCCTTCTCTCCCTTCTCTCCCTTCCCTCCCTTTCCCCCTTCCCTCCCTTCTCTCCCTGCTCTCCCATCTCTCCTTTCCCTCCCTTCCCTCCCTTCCCTCCCTTCCCTCCTTCCCTCCCTCCCTCCTTCCCTCCCTTCCCCCCCTTTCTCCCTTCCCTCCCTGCTCTCCTTTCTCTCCCTCCCACTCCCTTCTCTCCCGTCACTCACTTCCCTCCTTCCCTCCCTTCACACCCTTCCCTCCCTTCTCCCTTCCCGCCCTTCTCTCCCCCCTTACCTTCTATCCCTTCCCTCTCATCCCTCCTTGCAATCTCCTGTCTCTCCCTTCTCTCCTTTCTCTCCCTTCACTCCCATCCCTCCCGTCCCTCCCTTCTCTCCCTTCCCTCCCTTATCTCCCTTCCCTCCCTTCTCTCCCTTCCCTCCCTTCTCTCCCTTCCCACCCTTCCCTCCCCCGACTCCTTTCCCTCCAATCCCTCTATCTTCTCCCTTCCCTCCCTTCTCTCCCTTCCCTCCCTTCTCTCCCTTCCCTCCCTTCTCTCCCTTCCCTCTCTTCTCTCCCTTCCCTCCTTTCCCTTCTATCCCTCCCTTCTCTCCCGTCTCTCCTTTCCCGCCCTTTCCCCCTTCCCTCCTTCCCTCCTTTCCCTCCCTTCTCTCCCTTCCCTCCCTTCCCTCCACTCCCTCCTTTCCCTCCAATCCCTCCCTTCTCTCCCTTCTCTCCCTTCCCTCCCTTTCCCCCTTCCCTCCCTTCTCTCCCTGCTCTCCCATCTCTCCTTTCCCTCCCTTCCCTCCCTTCCCTCCCTTCCCTCCTTCCCTCCCTCCCTCCTTCCCTCCCTTCCCCCCCTTTCTCCCTTCCCTCCCTGCTCTCCTTTCTCTCCCTCCCACTCCCTTCTCTCCCGTCACTCACTTCCCTCCTTCCCTCCCTTCACACCCTTCCCTCCCTTCTCCCTTCCCGCCCTTCTCTCCCCCCTTACCTTCTATCCCTTCCCTCTCATCCCTCCTTGCAATCTCCTGTCTCTCCCTTCTCTCCTTTCTCACCCTTCACTCCCGTCCCTCCCGTCCCTCCCTTCTCTCCCTTCCCTCCTTTCCCTCCCCTTCTCTCCTTTCCCTCCAATCCCTCCCTTCTCTCCCTATTCTCCCTTCCCGCTCTTCTCTCCCCCCTTACCCCATCTCCCTTTGCTCGCTTTTGGCCTCCCACCGCCTCAACCTGCCTTCCCGTCTCCCCTTCATGCCTCACACCACCTTTCCCTTCCTTCTCAGCCCGCCTTCATGCCTCCCACCACCTTTCCCTGCATGCCCCTCCCCCTTTCATGTGTCCCACCTCCTTTCTCTGCCTTCCCATCTCCCCTTCATGCCTCCCAACACCTCTCTGTGCCTTCGACCTTTCGTCCCTCCCATCCACTCCTTTCTCACTGGGCCACTCTTTGTCCTGCTCGTAGGGGCAAGCCGAACCTCTCATCACCGTCCAGACCCTCCCATCCCCTTCCAGACCCTCCCATCCCCTTCCAGCCCCTCCCATCCCCTTCCAGCCCCTCCCATCCCCTTCCAGCCCCTCCCATCCCCCTCCAGCCCCTCCCATCCCCTTCCAGCCCCTCCCATCCCCTTCCAGACCCTCCCATCCCCTTCCAGACCTTCCCATCCCCTTCCAGCCCCTCCCATCCCCTTCCAGCACCTCCCATCCCCTTCCAGCCCCTCCCATCCCCTTCCAGCACCTCCCATCCCCTTCCAGCCCCTCCTATCCATGCGCACACTGCCGGTTCGTTTACCTACTCACTTCACAAACTTCCCTACTCCCTTCTGCCTGTTCCCCGCCAGATATCAAAGATGTTCTCGCGCCAACGTGGGCGCCGGCAACGGTTGACGCTTGGTATTAGAGTTGGTATTATTGAGGATGAGGATGATGAAGATGAGGAAGGAGAGCGGCGACAGGGGGATAGCAGGACTGAATCGCGTACAGATACTTGCGGCATCTCTGTGTCCAGGGGTTCAGTGATTGTTAGCACGTCACACCCAATACCGTCATCGCCCGGATATAAGACGTATATATCTTATCTCATACAGTAAATAAATAAGTCTTATATATGGACAAAAATCGGTTTAGAAGATACCCCCTCATTATACATTTGCCCCTAACCCCTACACACAAATAGGTGTCTTTTGAGGCTACCCCGTCTATAAGAGACACCCGTATAATAGACAACCCCTGTCTACTGTTCAACTCTGTCTTATATTCGGGCGATGACGGTACGCACTGTTCGCCGTCTAAGGGTTGTACGACCCACTGGATTGCCCCCCTAGGTTTTTTACGCAAGTGAGAGTTGGTCACCCTCCGAATTTGCTGTACATCGTGCGAAACAGTACCATGTTCTCATGGAGTGGGCTCGAAAGGAGCTTGGGTACGCGGACATGGCAAACAGTAGTGTGGATAACGGAACCGTGACTAATGTCGTGCGAGTATGTTTGGGTAAAAACACTGCGGTGGATGCGCAGCGTCATCCGATGCTTCCCAAGAACCATCGTTTTCGTTGTTACATTGAATACTCTGAGTTGCTGGGAGGCCACGCATGCTCCCGTGTGACTTTGCCTTGGTTGGTCTATGTGGTTATAGGTTCGCTGTATCCTGAGCCATCGGGAGAAGGCTACAAAAATTGCAGCCAGGCTGACATTGATTGGTTTGAAAGAGAATGGGAAGTGCCTGACAACATAGATTTTGCAATGAGGGCATTCGTGCTCGGGCATATGAGTAGCAACGTGATCGGTACCGAGGAATCCAGGGTGGGTCGACGATGTTACAAGCGACCGGATTGACTAAATGTTATCACATTACGTGTGCCACTCGTTACCAGGGTTGATGATAACTATTGGGTTGGCAATATATTAGTACGGCAATGTACTAGGTTCAGGTGCCGGTATGATGGGGCGGGAACAAGGAGTTCAGAGAGGGTTATCACCGAGACCAGCACAACCACCTGAAGCACCGTCACCAGCAGTAGCACCTATAGGGTTGGGAGAAGGGAAAAGAGGCAGAGACGGGGAGAAAAGAAAGGGGAGGAGGGTGAAGAGACATGCAGAAGCTGAGAGGTGGGGAGGACAGTGCTTGACGGGTTGACGTAGGGGTGGGAAGGAGCACCAACAGGTGCGCACAAGGAGGAGTGATGCAACAATGCGGCAGGGTCAGAAAACGCGCACCCAATACATCGACTGAACGAGATCTCCACTGACAGAACGTGCACCACTGTCCCCTCACCAGATGACAGCGGCAGGTGCTTGCAGGGAGAGTGAGAGCAAATCTACCTAGTTCCACGCGAGGCCAAAGTAGCTCACGGCAGCATGGTCCCCCATCTTCGCCAGCTTGCCACACACGTTCCACAGCAACCCCACCAGGTACACCACCTCCAGCACCAGGCAAGCTATGTTGCGCGCCAATGCATAGGACATGGCCATGGCTGCCGGCTGAATGATGCAAACTCACGGCCTTGCTGCCACTTGTGCTCAATGTGTACAACAAGGGAATGCAATGAGGGTGATGGACAGAAGGAAATCGGAGGAAGAGCACGAATGTGAGGAAGACAAGAATGTCAAGCAAGCACCACGGCATACAGCATGGCATGGCATGGCATACGGTCTCTCACCAGCTGATTCGAATCCTGCCCTCGCAGCCAGCACTGTGAGAACACTAGCAGAGGAGGTGGAAGAGGATGAAGAGGAGGAGGAAGGCGCCACCCGCCTAACTCACTGACCACCCGCCTAACTCACTGACCACCCGCCTAACTCACTGACCACCCGCCTAACTCACTGACCACCCGCCTAACTCACTGACCACCCGCCTAACTCACTGACCACCCGCCTAACTCACTGACCACCCGCCTAACTCACTGACCACCCGCCTAACTCACTGACCACCCGCATAAGGGGGTCGTAGCTGGTGTCCTGCACGCCAGCTGATTGTTGGGTAGTACAATGTTGCGGGACGCTGCCATGAGGAACTTGTACTTAACAGATATTGAATGATTTTCACAACCTACGCTGCATTCGCATCCACGCCATCACCACTCGCGCAGTCCCCCCATGCCACCAGCTCCACCATCCTGGCGGATCCAATCACAGAGACGTGGCGCTTACCAAGAGGGGGCGACTGCACAGTTTTAGGGTTTTAGCAGCACCTCCCATTCGCAGGGCGGTATCTCCATCTCCACTGCCACCTCCCCACCTGCCACGGGCCAGAACGCCTCGTACATGATGATACGACGGGGTGGGATGGGGTGGAGTGGGGTGGAGCGTGGTGGTGTGGGTTGCGTTAGCATGGAATGGGGCGAGATGTGATGGTTGACTGACAGCTAGATAAGCAGGACGGATGGAGGAGGGTACGTGCACCAGCAGAGTAGCTGCTTCCTTTGCAAGTGGGAAGAACATACCAGCAGAGGGAGACGGGGTTTACCACGCAGGAGGTTCCAGTAACATTGCATATCGAAGCGTGTAAGCATCAACACACTTTGAGATAACAAATTCACACACGGATGGCAACCCTTGAATGATTCGTTCGTGTTGACGTCATTGCACATTTGTCAAGGCTCCTGCAATCAGCGAGTATACATGTGCATGTGTAATATTAGTAAGTGTTACGGGCCGTCCAATAAAGTCCAAATGCACCCCCATTGACTTACTAAGCAAGGATCGTGAGGCGGTGGAGGGTTGTCCTTCATTGGTGCGCCTCCGCTTCGGAGGGGCTCGGGTGTTGTGGGGGAGATCTTTCTCAGACGACCCATTCTGCACACCATGCACCCAAATCGATCATTAGTAAACCTATTCATTTCAATCTTCAAATGGGGCGATCCCATTGCATGGGTGAGGGCTGGCCAGCCCTTTTGATTACGGTGGGCCCGCCCATGTGTTGAGGCGAGCCTACCGCATGGAAGAGGGCTGGCTAGCGATGGCATAATGACGGGGAAGGGAGGGCTTGCAGGGGGGAACTGTTTGCATGATGAGGGGGGAGGGAGGCCTAGCACGGGGTATACTGAGGACATGATGACGGGGAAGGGAGGGCTAGTAGGGTGGAAACGCAAGGAATGGGGGGAATGGAGACAATGAGAGGGAATGGAGGGAATGGAGGGAATGGAGGCAATGAGAGGGAATGGAGGGAATGGAGGCAATGAGAGGGAATGGACGGCTAGCAGGGGGTAACTTATGGCATGATAAGGGGGAAGGGAGGGTAGGGTAGGGATGGATGGAAGGGCAGTGGGGGGAAAGGCAGGGCAGGTTGGGAGTTGGACTGAAGGAAAGAGCGTAGCAGGTAGTGAATGTTGGCGTGGGAATGGGAGGGAGGAAGGGCAGGGGTGAGATGGCAGGGCAGGGTAGGGAGGAACACGGCTGTCTCACCTCCTGCAAAATGGTTGGTTTTGTCCTCTTTGCCTTGGCGGACGTGGCGCCTTATGCGAGGGAGTTGTGCCTTAGGAATGCGTGTGCAAGCTAGCTTGCACCGAAATACGGCGCAAATCGAGGGAAAACTTGGGGCTCGCAGGGGGGAAACATGGGGCTACCATGGGGGAAACATGTGGCTAGCATGGGGGAAACATGGGGCTAGCATGAGGGGAACATGGAGCTAGCATGAGGGGAACATGGGGCTAGCATGGGGGAAACATGGGGCTAGCATGGGGGAAACATGGGGAAGCATGGGGGAAACATGTGGCTAGCATGGGGGAAACATGGGGCTAGCATGGGGGAAACATGGGGCTATGGGGGAAACATGGGGCTAACATGGGGGAAACATGGGGCTAGCAAGGGGGAAACATGGGGATACCATGGGAGGAAACAGCCCTCCTCTGAGAGCTGTGGGGCTCCTTTGTTGCTGAGCGGTCCACACGGTGCCGGGAGCTTTCATGCACTGACCACCCTCACTGGGAAGGCTGAGGGGAGGGAGGGAGAAGAGGATGTGACAAGGGAAGGCGAGTAAGAGTGTGAGGGCTGTGAGGTTCCTTCGTTGCTGAGCGCTCCACACGCTGCTAGGAACAGCGATGCACTGACAACTCTCCTTCTAAACATGGGGCTAGCACCTTGTATAAACCTGGGCCAAGCATGGGGGAACACATGGGGCTGGCAGCAAGGAAACAACCGAATATCACAGGGAGAATATGGGGCTATCAAGGGGGAGAAATGGGTCTGGCATGGGGAAACGTAGGGCCTGCAGTAGGGGGGGAACATGGGGCTAGCATGGGGGGGGAAATGGGGCAGCCCTGGGGGGAAAATGGGGCAGCCCTGGGGGAAATTGGGTAAACCCTTAGGGGAAAATGGGGCAGCCCTGAGAGGAAATATGGGGCTTTTACGGGGTAATTAGGGGCTGGCAGGGGGGAAACGTGGGGATAGTAACATGGGGCTAGAAGGGGGGTAACATGGGGCTAACATTGGGAAAAGATTGGGCTGGAACGAGGGGAATGTGGGGCTATCAGGGTGGAAATATGAGCTTGAGCGTAGGGGGAGAACGTAGGGCCTGCAGGGGAAAACGTGGGGCCTGCAGCGGGAAACATGGGGCCTGCAGGTGGAAACTTTCGAACTGCAGGGGGGACACATGGGGCTAGCAGGGGAAACACATGGGGCTAGCAGGGGGGAAACATGGGGCTACCATGGGGGGAATATGGGGCTGGCAGGGAGGAAACATGGGGCTAGCATGGGCGGAATATGGGGCTATCACGGGGGGAAAATGGGTCAGGCGTGGGGGAAACATGGGGCCTACAGGTGGAAACTTTCGGCCTGCAGGGGGGACACATGGGGCTAGCAGGGGGGACACATGGGGCTAGCAAGGGGAAACATGGGGCTAGCAGTGGGGAAACATGGGGCAAACAGGGGCGAAACATGGGGCTAGCAGGGGGGAACCATGGGGCTAGCAGTGGGGAAATATGGGGCAAACAGGGGCGAAACATGGGGCTAGCTTCATAAAAAATGGGGCGTGCAGGTGGAAACTTTCGGCCTGTAGAGGGGGACACATGGGGCTGGCAGGGGGGAAACATGGGGCTAGCATCGGGGGGAAATTGGGGATACAATGGGTGGAACTATGGGGCTATCAGGTGGGTCAATTCGAAAGTCACCTGTGCAGTTTGCAAGGCACCCACCAGGCGGGGTTGGCAGTGAGGGAGAGACCGGTGAGAAAAGCAGCAATGATGCCGACCCAGATGGACAGGCAACTGAGCTTTCGATATGAATGGGGGATATGGTGGGCATGGGAGGAATGGAACGGAGAAGAGGGGTGATAGGTGTAAGGACCAGCAGGAGCTTACAGACCAGCAGGGCAGCAAGGATGCTGACATAGATGGCCCGCGGGTTCAGCGACCCCGGACTGATGCGCAAGCTATCTGATGGGCGAATGATGGTGGGCATGGCGGGACTGGGAGGCGGAACAGGGAGGTGAGGAGATATGAGAGGGGCATGTAGCAACGTAAACCACAGGTGTGTCATCGACAAACAGATGAAGCAACTACCTGAGTGCACTCCCCTCTGCAAGGGGTAGCGAGAGTAGCTGGAAAGTGGTTCGCCTGCACACAGAAGGGGCAAGCCAGCCAGCAGAGAGCCCTCCACATGCTACTGGGAGCAACGATGCACTCACCACACAGCCTGGGAAGGGAAGGGGTGGGAGGGAAAAGAGAATGTGACAAGGGAAGGCATGTAAGAGTGTGAAAATTGTCGAGGTGAAAGGCCCCGCCCTTGCTTGGGCGCAAGCATTCTCTGCGACGACGTGGTGAATTCGACGAAGTGATCGTCGCATTGGATCAGCCCGTCCTCTGAAACTGCGGTGGGTTTTTGAGGAGTTGGTCCTCTGATTCACCAGCCCATCAACGAGCTCTGGTCGACGGGGTGCTGTTCGACGAGCTTGTCCTCTGATCTGCTCGTGAGTCACGCGATCTCTGGCAGACGGGGTGCCGTCCGAAGAGCTTCGTTCTCTGATCGAAGGGCGTCTTTCGGCGAGCCTCGTCTCGGCGAACTGGTCGGCCGAATTCGTGCGACTTCGAAACTCTGCGAAGGCATGCGAAATTCGCTCAGGTTATTCTTAGCGAAATTTCACCTGCGGAATGGCATCACGTGTTCGACGGTGAACATCTGATGAAACCGTTGGAGCGTTTTCTACCTGGCACCTACGCAATGTCTCTGATGGCGCAACCGTCTACCTGCACCTACTCGAGAGGTGCGCATCTGCGCAGATATTCACCTGCGAATGCAGCGCTGGCAGGCCGCCCTGCTGCAGCGCTGGCATGTCGCCCTTCTGCTACGCTGGAAGACCACCCTGCTGCAGCGTTGGCGAATCTCTGTGATGCACTGCTGGCAATTCGCCTTGCAGAATTCTTGCTAGGGGTTCCAATGCCATTCTAGTCAAATCACTTGCATGCCTCATTTTGTGTACTCTAATTCTGAATTTTTCAATGTTCCTTCAATTTCCTTAGTGGAAACTCTGGCCAAAT